GCAGGATGTGTTACGAACTTTGCAATCACAGAGGAGAGGGGACCAGCTTGGCTCTAAACATCAAGTTTAAGTACAGAGAAAACCGAGGGCCTCCTCAGAGTCACGTTAACTGCGATGCTGTGGAAAACGGACACCTAACCTCGTTCCCTAATTGTATCTAAACAGCCAGGGACAGCGAAATGGCAATGGCTGTCATTGACAGCGTTAGAAAGTAATGCTTACTGGTTGAAAATAATTTAGGATAAATGATAGAAGCACTATTTAATAGTCCCTCCCTCAGCGAGTCCATAAGGCAACTTTTGGGGAATTATTTTTTAAAAAAACAAAAATGAAAACCCTCCCTCAGGACACTTGTCTGCCATCTGCTGGGGAATTGTAGTAACTACACAAATCTAAGAGGACTGAGGCGAATGGCACCCCTTTATCGTTGAAAACACTCAACTCTCAGGATTATAAAAAGTCGGTAAACTGGTCAGAATGGTGAAACTGCTGAGCAAGTAACAGTTAACCCATCACCAATAGTGCTATGCACTCGCCTTAGAGCAGCGGTTCTCAACCTGTGGGTCGCGACCCCTTTGGCGGTCAAACGACCCGTTCACAGGGGTCGCCTAAGACCATCCTGCATATCAGATATTTACATGACGATTCATCACAGTAGCAACATGACAGTGATGAAGTAGCAACGAAAATAATTTTATGGTTGGGTCACCACATGAGGAACGGTATTAAAGGGCCAGAAGGTTGAGAACCACTGGCTTAGAGCGTTTACATGGACTGTCCGCTTTATTTCTCGTAACAACCCCGAACAGGAGTGCGGTATACATAACACGATGGGAAAGGCGTGGAAAGATGACTGGGGCAAGCCTGGGGACTTCGGGATGATAAACATGCCCGTCCACAGAGTGTTCCTTGATGGCACTGCCGGGAACAGAGAGAGGCCGATCGTGGTTGGATCATAACAGCTTGTTTGTTTGTTTGTTTCGAGTGTCTACCTCTTCTCTGTTCCCATCCACACCAAGAACGGGATAGTAGAGGAGCCCTTGGCCGCGTCCATTTTGAAGTGTGGAGGGAGACATCGTTAACGGACCCGCCGTGAAAACAGAGGAGACTAACACTAGCTGGTTTCATTACCACCCAGTAGCCATGAAGTTGCTTCATTAAAGGAGGAAACAGCAAATGGTCCTCACCAGAGTAATCAGGAATGCATTCGGGACACTTTTATCTCTTAACTTTAATCAAGACTTGCATTTTATTACCAGGACGTGTTTGCAATACCACATTTACAGGTTATCTGTACAGGATGGTGATTAAAATAATACTTATTTTTAAGCCACCACCCCACCCACCCACCCACACACACACATTAACTTAGGTACACGTTATTATTTGACTTAAAACACTTCACTGGTACCCCATTACTTCAAAGTTGACATTTTATCATTCTTTTTAAAACACATTTTATTGATTTGTTAGAGAGGAAGGAAGAGGTAGAGAGACAGGGAAACATTGATGAGAGAGAAACATCAATCAGCTGCCTCCTGCACGCCCCCTGCTGGGGATGGAACTCAAACCTGGACATGTGCCCTGACCGGGAGTCAAATCAGCCACCCTTCAGTGCATGGGCGATGCTCAACCACTGAGCCACCCGCCTGGCTACATGTTCTCATTCTTAATACACACAATGACCTGATGGTTATTCTCCAACCTCGTCTCCTATCGCGTCCCAGACACCTTCACTTCTAAGCGCACCAGACTGTGCAGTGCCTCTGCCCGCCGCGCCGTGCTGTTCTACGCACTGTGATCCCTCACCCCTCCCCTCTGCCCGGGGCACGCCCCACCGCATCCCCCCGAAGACCTATTTTCTTCAAAACCCGGCCCAAGTGGTCTTCCCCCCGAAGCTTTCCTCCATCCGATCCCTTCAAGCAGACTCACTGCTTCCAGTGTGCTGAGTGAGTCAGTGAGTAGGAAACGCTGCGGCGACCTGAATGAGTCAGACCCAGGCTGTGGAACATGCTGCGTAGCCTCTCTATGTTTCTCGTTTGACGAAAATGTTTTCCCTTTCAGTCTGGAGAAAAATGGAGGGCCATGCATAAATCTTCTCTCCAGAAAAGGTAATTGGTGTTTCTTTTCTCTCCAGGGTGCCTTCTGGCCCTGGCACTCTGTAATCCAGGGGTCCTCAAGCTTTTTAAACAGGGGGCCAGTTCACTGGCCCTCAGACCGTTGGAGGGCTGGACTATAGTTTAAAAAAAAACTAGGAACAAATTCCTATGCACACTGCACATACCTTATTTTGAAGTAAAAAAACAAAACGGGAACAAATACAATATTTGTATTTGCATGTGGCCCACGGGCCGTAGTTTGAGGACCCCTGCTGTAATCCTTTGTTCCATGTATAAACATTCAAAAAGGCGGGTCTACTGAAAAGGCGACCTGCAAGCGTTTGTGTTTGGAATGCTGTACACCTAACATATCTCCCCATGTATAAGCCAATGTGACACATTTCTTTTTTTCTAAAAAAAAAAAAAATGTTTTTATTGATGTCAGAGAGAAAGGGAGAGGGAGAGAGAGGAACATCAATGATGAGAGAGAATCATTGACTGGCTGCCTCCACACCCCACACTGGGGATCCAGCGCAAAACCCGGGCACGTGCCCTGGCTCATAGGTCAACGCTCAGGCACTGAGCCAACCCGGCGGGCTTATCCTTTAAGGCCTTCCTCCCCAGCACCAGTCGGCAGAAACTCCTCCTCCTTCGCCCTTTCTCACAAGCCACGCACAGGTACCCTCATTACGGAAACAGCACACTAGTAAGTAGGACTCAGCCACGCCCTTGCTATTGTTCTGTGCCGTGTACACCTTGTCTCGTGAGTTCATAGGGCACAGCCCACCTTTCCCTTACACTCCGTACAGTGTCGCACACAGTGGGGGGGATGCCCTTGAAACCCAAGTCCAGACCTGATAATGGTACCCACCTGGGCCCCGTAGACAGAGGCTAGGAAAAATGACTTGTTGATTTCACGTTTAGCTTAGTGCTTGCTCGAGTGTGCTTGGTGGAGGGCCAGATTCCGTCTTGCTTGGTGCAGTCACTGCCCCACAGGGAAAAGCAAGGGCGGGCCATTCAGAGGCCCCTGTGCTCCCGTCACGAGTGGGAGGGAGAGGAGAGGAGAGAGGACAAGAGGAGGAGAGCGGGCCTCACTCACTCCATCTGGGGGAGCGAGGTGTGGGCGGAGGGGAGGCTGTATTTCCGACTATCGTGGGTGAAAGGGTGTCTGGTGCGGGCACAGCTCCTTCGCCAGCCTCGCTCTTTCTTTACTGTAGTATTGATTTCCAAACAGCCTGGGTGCCAGGCACAGGCCGATGAAGCTTTTGCAGGTGTGTGGCAACATAAGAAAAGATGTGGACAACGGAGAGGGTTTGTGGACAAAGTTAATGTCATTCAAGGGGAAGGCCATGCCTTTGAGAGCGCCTTTGGCACTGTCTTTTGGTGTTAAACTATCCCTCCTTTCACAAACGCCTATTTAAAACAGTTGACATTTGGTCCTTTGTTAGTGCCAACTTGGCACAGTAGAAAGTCGGCCACCATGTTTGGCTGCCCCGAGGTTTTGCTGTGACATGAAAGCCTGGAAGCTGCTGCGCTGTCTCTTCGTGTGTCTGGAATGGGGAGGAAACAGAACGATGTTTCTTAGCTAAGGGGATCAGACTGTGGCGACCTCCCGAGGCGCAGACCTTTAACTGTGGCTCTTACTTCTTAGGGAGAGAGCACCGAAGAAAGCTAAGACCGAAAATTCAGCCCCGAGACTCCCTGACCTTATTGCCTCCTGTAACGAACTTCATGGGGCTCTTCAAGACCTCCAAGAAGTCCACTGTGTCGCATAATATTTTTTCCTTTGCATCTGCAACGTCCTCAGATGTCATCCAAGTGTCAAGACCAAGGATAGTGTTGCTGAGCGAACTTGGGAAACACGTTCAGAAAGATAACGTTGAGCCTGCAGAAGGTTAATAAACGCATTTCAGTGTGAATGGATTCCCGAGCAACTTTTTAAAACATTTTAACGTTTATTTTGTTGTTATAGTTTTATTGATTTCAGAGAGGAAGGGAGAGAGAGAAACATCCATGATGAGAATTATCCATCGGCTGCCTCCTGCACGCCCCACACAGGGGATGGAGCCAGCAACCCAGGCCTGTGCCCTTGACCGGAATCAGAGTTGGGACCCTTCAGTCCGCAGGCCGACGCTCTATCCACTGAGCCACCCAGCCAGGGCGCAGTGTTTTATTTGTAATTGTGGTAAAATGCACGTAACATAGTTGTGTCATCTTTTCTAATGGGGGTTCTTGATGTCGACACTTAGCAGATTGCCCTCAGCCTGTCTCCCGGGTTAAACCAGGCCTGATTCCAGTCTCAACCGATGAGTAGAAGTTTCTGGAAGGGAAGTCCTGCACTGACACCAGAGCAGAGCCGCTGGCCAGCGGCATCGTGGGTACCTGTGTCACGTGCTGTAAAGACGTTTAAACGGGGACGCGGCCCACAAGGGCACGCTCACGGTAATGCCTGGAGGCATCGAAGGATCAACACCACAAAAGCATGAGGCTTCTCACACCCGAAATGTGTGCCTTTAAACATTTACTTAAAAAGAAAAGCCCCAGCTCACGGCCACGGGTACAAAGGCGTGGCTGAGAAACGTGGCGGCCGCCTCGACCAGCGCCATGCCGACTGAGGGCCTCCTTCGGGGTGTCACGGAGAGGGGCTCCCCTGTGGCTCAGGGCCACTGGGGCGGGGGTGGGCGAGTTACTCATGGAAGTCCCCAAAGGGAAGTGCCTTTAAGGCAGGACCAAGCTAAGGAGTCTTGTCATCGTAGATTTGTAGCCTTACCTCCTAGTCCGGTGACGGCGAACCTTCTGAGCTCGGCGGGTCAGCGTTTTGAAAAACCCTAACTTAACTCTGGTGCCGTGTCACATAGAGAAATGTTTTGATATTTGCAACCATAGTAAAACAAAGACTTATATTTTTGATATTTATTTTATATATTTAAATCCCATTTAACAAAGAAAAATCAACCAAAACAATGAGTGTCATAGGTTCGCCATCACTGTCCTAGTCTCTCCATACAGCAAGCCACTGACTAGGCAGTTAACACCTTGTCCCACATGGATGACATCATAGAAAAGCTCCTGGTGAAATCTCTCAAAGGACATCGAACGCTCGATAGCAATGTCCTTACAGTTAACGTCGCTCTAATCCAGGCAGGGAGAAGGGGACAGGCTGTTAGGACACCTGCAGTACAAAGTTCCAGATTCAAGGAAATCATCCCCAAACAAAACCAAACCCTTTTCGTCACATACACTTTCATCAACTGAATAAAATTTCTCAAATAATGGATATAAATATATGTGGTCAACTGAAAAGGGCAGTGCAATAGGGTGGTGAAGGCCTGGAAGGCGCCGGTGCGGGGTGGGGGGGGGGGGGAGGAGGTCAATCGGGAAAAAGGGGAGTCACCATAATACTTTCAACAATAGAGGAATTTTTTTAAAAGTACAATGCACAACGAGAAGTTACTTGCACGCCACTTGTTAAAATCTCAGATGGGTTTTCAGAAACGTAGACACATTCTGTTTGCTCCAGAGAACATACCTGTGTGACGGGCACGTTTATACTTAACAGACATTCCGCTCGACAAAGTTACCTTTTGTCTTGATTTAGAATTCTGTGATCGACACGATTTTGGCCTGGCTCCCTTTCTAATACTCTTCTCTCATTGGAAAAAGTCAGGCTAATGTTTCAGCAGACGCCCCCCTCCGCCTCTCCACCCCCGCCTGCTCCCCTGAAAAAGCTCCCCCTGCTCTGACATGACCCAGGCCTGCACACACGGGCCAGAACTCAGCAGAGCCACCGCCTTTCTCCCTGCAGGGCTGGTTCTCTACCTGCAGCATCAGCGCATCCTGCCGCCCCCCCCCCCCCCCAGGTGCTCTCCTGTGGTTTCTGATTTAAAAACATATGTCCTCTTATACGACAATAACACGGCTAATCTCTCAAGAGAGCAGGTGCTAAACATCAAACGCAAGAGAAGGAATAACAGAAGAAAGTCTTGATGAGCAATATTACATATCTCCTACAATTTGATATCCAAAAAATCCAAACCGAAATGTTGAAATATTACCTTTAGGGATTTTTGAAAAGCACAAATCAAATCTTCATTTTTAATAAAAATATATTTTTATTGATTTCAGAGAGGAAGGGAGACAGAGAAACGTCAATCACTGGTTGCCTCCTGCATGCCCCCTACCGAGCATCGAGCCTGCAATCCGGGCCTGTGCCCTGACCGGGAATTGAACCAGGATCTCCTGGCTCGTAGGTCGACCCCGACCACTGAGCCACGCCGGCCGGGCTCAGATCTTCATTTTTAATTGTGGGACTTTTATGGCGGCTTCTCCAACTTCTTTGGATATATCCACCCCCAGAGGACATCTGCATCAGAGTCAGACAAATCACGTTACTGCAAACATTGGCTTCCTCCTCTGTCCCTCGTTCTACAGACTGTGTGCTTAGAATTCTAACAACATGCATATCTAATTTATAATTAATCCCAGGGGTTGGTAGCTCTTAAATAAATACAAATAGGATCTCAAACCAGAATAATGGGTGAAGAAAGGCCAGTTCCATTAATAAATCTAAACTTGGAGACTTTTTAAAACCACTTTGAGGTATATTTGACATTTCTAAAAAGCTACACATATTTAATATATACAACTCAATGACTTTGGGGATTGAGATGTTTTGAAAGAAACAATTCTACACATCTCAAATACTGTAAATAAATAAAAACTTAAAATGAAGTAGAAAAATAACAAAAAGTCTTATGATTCTCTATAAAGCTAAGAAGGCGAAATAGTTCACATGTAGCTGAAGGCAAATCTGCACCCCTTCCTACCCTACCCATCCCCCAGGTTCCCACTGCTTCCTCTCTGAGCGTCACCACCTGGCTTGCTCCTTGTCTGCCTTCCTCGGTCGCTACTGGCAGGAGAGGCGAGATCCGACCCTCTTTCTTTGTTCTTCCTTAGTTCATAATTCTGGCTTCTGATTTCTGCTATTTCACTCTGTTACCCAACCTGGAGAAAGCCACCGTCTCCAGCCTCCACACTGCCCAGGGGAGGCACCACGGCATCAGACGGTGGGTTCCACCAGAGGCTGGGCCATCGACATGGGGCGGGGCCGGGGGGGGGTTCTGCCACCACCAGCTAACTCTGCTCATTTGTAATCAGCCCTGAGAGTCGAGTTCATGCAGCAACAGTGAAGGACTCCAACACGGAGAAGTTTAAAGCATCAGATGAAACAATGTAGACACAGAACTGTTAGGTCAGGAAACATAACCATCCTCCGCTGGTTTTACGAGTCCAGGACTAACTGAGCCCGGAACTTGGTGCCAGACGGGGAAACCGTGCTCCTCGCTGGACCCGGGAGACAGAGGAAGGCGTGCAGAGAGCAGCTGCCTGGGCCGCGTTCTCAGCTGCACGGGGAAGAGCACACTCGCAGCCCAGTCCCCACCAGGATGCCTGGTGCACATTTCCCTTCCGTTTCCCAGCATCCTCGCTGGTTCTGAGATGGATGTGACGTTGCAAAAGGCAGGCCAGGGACCTGGTTTCCACTGTTTCCAAATGAAGGAATCCATCACCCTTACCCATCACCTGTTTCTAACCTGTGATTTGTCAGATTTTTTGTCATTTGAAATTGTAGCAAACACACTTCTTATAAGGTATCTACCTGATAGGTTCATGAAAGAAATGACTGTAACCAGAAGATCAATGAAAACCTCACATATAAAAGCAACATCCCGGCTTTGACTTTGATAATGCAACTTGCGTAAAGACAGGAATGGTGCTACCTACTTCGGTTCGTAGCGGACGCCTTCTGTGTCGTGTAAAATGCCCACGCCGGCACGCAGTCTTTCAATCCCGTTCCTAAACCAGGATCATTACACAGCGTGAGCAGCCCAGAGTTAAAGGAAGAAGGCGGAGCGTAGTGAAAGGGCGGTTCATATTGACCTCGTGCTGAGGCAGGCACGCGTCCCAGGGCTTACCACGCGACCATCACGCCGTTGTCCGTGCACAGTCTGGGGGGAGGACACAGCAGAGCGCACTGGGTGGCGTTTGTTACAAGTTCCAGAGCTTTTCGGATGTAGAAGTTGCTGGCAACTCCTCCAGACACAACCTGGAGGAGCCGAGAAGAGCAAGAGGAACAGGTGTCACGTACGGGTGTAAGCCAGGCTGGCAGCTAACCTGGGCACGGCAGCATGCGATCAAACACCGCATCTGACAGATGGGCGACGGGCGGTGAAACATCTGCAGAATAACGACTTGAAGAAAAATACCACAAAACACTTCACATCGGCGTGTAACCGCTCCTCCCGTTTCTGTGCTCCTTTCCTCTGGCCTTTTTCTAAGGACAGTCAGAGTACGTACGATACCTTACCAGTGGGCGGCAAACTCATCAGTCAGCAGAGCCAAATATCAACAGCACTTCTTCAAAACAGACTCGCCCAGGCCGGAAACCGGCTTCTGCGCGTGGGCCACGAGGTTTCAATCGCACTGTACGTGTGCGCGCGCACGTGGTATTTTGTGGAAGAGCCACACTCAAGGGGCCAAAGAGCCGCATGTGGCTTGCAAGCCGCGGTTTGCCGACCACGGCCTTAGGCCCTGGAGTTTTTACCTATAAGCACTTTTTTCTTAAACAATCCTTTAAGAACGATTGCCTTTGATATTCCAGTCTGTGCATCTACCACCATCTAAATATCGTCTCACTTCCTAATTTTCAGAAAACCGCACTTTAAGACACAGTTACCCGAGGTTTACCAAGGCTGTAAACACACGCGAGGGAGTTCATCAAAGGAGCACAAGTGTTAAGGAAATCAACCCGTTTTCCTAAAAACCAAGCCACCGGCTCCTGCCGTTCCTTCTAATCGTGGAGCCTCTGAAATGCACGGGCAGACGGCCCGGGGCTTCCTGGGCACACGGCTGTGCACACATCCCCTAACGCTGCCGCCTGTACAGGGAAGGGACGTGGTCTCCACTCCGCACATTGCCCACGTGGGCACTGGATGTGGCCCAGAGCCCTTCCCTCAGGTGCTCAGGCGGCTGGGCCACCCCCCCCCCACTCCCCCCCAGAACAGCCTCAGCACAGAGGGCGCCGCTACTCCAGGGGGACAGGCTCACCAGGGCGGGGGGCTCACCAGGGCGGTGTTGCTGGACGGCAGCAGGCCTCGCTGCTGGCAGAACAGCAGGGCGCGGTGCGTGCGCTTGGCGAGGTGGCAGGCGGTGGTGTGCTGCACGGCGGCCGCGATGTCCGCAGCGGAGGCCAGGACCTGCCCCTGCTCCACGCCTACAGACAGAGCACAGTCTGGGGTTACTCCCCTGTCCATCTTTATTACTTTCTTTTTGGTTAACCCTCACCCGAGGATAGTTTTCCATTGATTTTCAGAGAGAGGGAGAGGGAGAGGGAGAGTCAGAGAGAAACATCGATGCACATCAATTGGCTGCCTCCTGCAAGAGCCCTGACCAGGGCCTGGGCCCCTGCAACCGAGGTACATGCCCTTGAACGGAATCGAACCCAGGACCCTTGGTCCCCAAGCTGACGCTCTATCCACTGGGCCAAACCTGCTAGGGCTGTCCACCTTTATTTATTAGAAATATACCTTCCTCTTTTTCCTTTTGTGTTATTATCTTATTGACAGCATGTTGAAGTCCAGTGAAAGAAAAATCACAGTTTTTAGCCCGATGCATGGGAGGTGTGAGGTCAAAACGCAGTCTATTTCCTTGTTTCGCCAGATGCTCGATGGCCTTCCCACCACTCATGGCGGCGCACTCCGGGTGTTTTGTTAAAGACAGCCTTCTTGCCACCTGTCAGAAACAGACACAACATCTTACAATGAGCCAGAAAATTGCACGCTTTGAAACCAAGATGCAAAGGAAACGAAAAACACACCAAACCTGGACGAATAAGACATGCTCTGCCTTTACAAACACGGCCGACAGCTGGTCAGGGAGACGGCCAGGCCTGCCTTTCTGACAACCCCACCGACAGCGGCCGGCACTGCCTCCCCGTCCACTGTTGCTCTTCCACTGGGGATGGGAAACAGGTTGGAAGTTAAGAATGGCCGCTTCTTCCATAAGAATCTGCCCTGCTGCTTCCCACCGTGCCAGTGGCTGGCAGCAGGATCTCTGTAGGATCCTGCCACAGAGGAAGCAGCAATCTGCGTGGTGGTAGTGCTGGTAATGGTGACATTTAACCACAGAACTCTGTGCGTCTCTAATGTCCTTATCTTCCTATATCCTCACATTTCACGTTTTTAGAGTACTTGACACTTCACAAAACACCTTCTTTCACATATATTGTCCTATTTGATGAAAAACATAACTGCAGGCAATGAGATACCATCTCACACCTGTCAGACTGGCTATCATCAACAAATCAACAAAGGACACGTGATGGCGAGGATGCGGAGAAAAAGGAACCCTCGTGCACTGCTGGTGTGAATGCAGACTGGTGCAGCCACTGTGGAAAACAGTATGGAGTTTCCTCAAAAAACTAAAAATGGAACTCCCATTTGACCCAGTGATCCACTTCTAGGAATATATCCCAAGAAACCAGAAACACCATCAGAAAGGATATATGCACCCCTATGTTCATAGCAGCACAAGTTACCATAGCTAAGATCTGGAAACAGCCTAAGTGCCCATCAGCAGATGAATGTATTAGAAAACTGTGGTACATCTACACGATGGAATACTATGCTGCTATAACAAAGAAAGAACTCTTACCATTTGCAACAACATGGAGGGACCTGGAGAGCATTATGCTAAGTGAAATAAGCCAGTCGGAGAAAGATAAATATCACATGATCTCACTCATTTGTGGAATATAATGAACAACATAAACTGATGAACAAAAACAGATCCAGAGACAGAGAAGCATTGAACAGACCGTCAAACCTCAGAGGGAAGGCAGGGGAAGGTGGGGGTAAGGGGGAGAGATCAACCACAGGACTTGTCTGCATGCACATAAGCATAACCAATGGACACAGACACTAGGGGGGGTGAGGGCATGCGCTGGGGGATGGGGTTGGCCGGGGAGAGGTCAATGGAGGAAAAAGGAGACATATATATATAATACTATATGTAATACTTTAAGCAATAAAGAATTTTAAAAAAATAAAAAAACAACTGCATTTGCGAACTATGTGAGCCTTTATGGGCTGCTGTAAACCTCCTACCTTTTATTTGAAATGGGACAGAAAGAATCTTTTGTAAACTAGGCACTACTTTTTCTGTTTGTCTTACCCTACACATATTTTTTCGGTCTAATGGGATATCATTCAGAAATATTTAGATGAATGGTACTAGTGCAGCCATCACGCCTCAACTGAAACGGACACCTTGACAAAAAATAAGGTAGAAATTAATCTGAGTTACCTTGTCAAGCATGTCACCCGGCGCTATGTCCAGAGACTTTCCGAGAAGCAGGAAATCTGCAACTCCTCTGACTAAGGCCAACAGACAGTGGCCTCCAGAAATCAAGAGAACGAGAAAGGGAAATTCCACTTCATTCGTCAGCCTGATAGTGAGCGCGTGAGCTTCCATGTGGTGGATGGGAATGAAGGGCTTCCTCAGCTGGCCGACCAGCTGCAGGCTGAAGGACAGGCCCACGCCCAGGCTCAGGGCGAGGCCGGGCATGGTGGTGGTGGCGACGGCGGAGAGCTCGCTCGGAGGGACTCGACTGGCCGACAGCGCTTCCTGCACTATCCGCTGGATATTTTCTCTGTGAAGCTGCTGAGCTACTGGCGGAATGATCCCACCGGTTCTGAAAGAGGTTTTTAAAAAAGCTTTTTATAATTTTAAGATTGTAAAAACGGGAAGAAAAATCGTATACGAGAGCTGAAGGCATGTTTTCAAATCAATCACTAGATAGCTCACAATGTCAGTCACGTATTTTCAAACGTGTCTTACGATGCAGCCGCTGGAACCCAGATTGCAGTGATTCGGGGTGTGGTGTCTCTGCACGCTGAAGGAAAGCGCCAAAATCATCTGAGAAACGCCAAGGAAGAACTCTCGGGCAAGGGAAGGACAAGATGAAACTGGACTTTGGAAAAACGGCTCTCTCTGCAGGCAGGAAGATTTTAGAAGATGTTTACAGTTACCGCAGAAGGGTAAGGTGATTACATCTTAAACGGGGTGACCGTGGGGATGGAAAGAAAGGGACAGAGGCCTGGGCCACTGTAATCACTAGGTGGGTATCAGGGGAGGGAGGCCAAGGCATCGGAGGGGAGTCAGGCCGGGAGCTGGAATGACGGGGAGAAGAGAAAGGCTGACGGAAACATGAAGCCCGTTTAGTGAAGGAGATGAGTTTATTTTTAGACCCTCCGCACTGGCAGCCACGGCAGGACAGTCGACAGCCTGCAATCTGAAATGAAGTCGGGAGTTTTGATTTTGGGTCCATGTGGGACAAGCAGTGGATGAGCACTCTGAACGTCAAGAGCAAAGAAGTAGGGGGTGAAGTTGCCAGCAAAACACGTGCCAGCATGTGGCAGAGAAGCACAGCCATCAAATACGAGATCTGCAACACGCACCCCAAATCTCAGAAAGAACACAACACCTTTAAATGTGTGATATTGAAGATCTGCTGGGTATATAAACAGAAATAAAAACCCTGCCCTGGCCGGTTTGGCTCTGGATAGAGCGTCAACCTGCGGACTGAAGGGTCCTGGGCTCGATTCCGGTCAAGGGCACATGCCAGGGCTGCGGGCTCGATCCCCAGTAGGGGGCGTGCAGGAGGCAGCCAATCAATGACTCTCTCTCATCATTGACGTTTCCATCTCTGTCTCCCTCTCCCGTCCTCTCTGAAAGCAATAAAAATAAAAGAAATGAAAGTCCTCAGTAGGGGCGTGCAATGACTATTTACTGAATACAGTCGGCCCTTGAATAACGCAGGGCTCAGGGTGCCAACCCCGTGCCGTCGAAAAGCCACGGATAACTCTGACTGCTCCAACACTTTCCTAAGGGCCTACTGTTGACTGGCTGCCTTGCTGATAACATGGGCAGTTAATGAACACATATTTGGTGTATGTTTTACATACTGCCTTCTTACAATAAAGAAAGCTAGAGAAAAGAAGTCGCTATGAAGAAAATCCTCCGAAGAGAAGCTGCGTTTAGTACTGTACTGCCGTCGTTGATACCATGAGTTCATACTGTCTGCTTACAAGATGAATCGCCTATCAGTGCCCACATCAATACTGCCTTATATGCTACAGAACACTGTAGATTGATACGGAGCAGTAACGCTGGGCATCCAAGTACTGGACACACGAGATAAACGGTATTTCATACGAAGGGCCAGGCTTTTACACCTGCTGGCACGGCTGCAGCGGCGGCCTCGCAAGCTTCCTTTCTGTTTACGATGGTCCCTCCGCTGGATTCCTGGGCCTTGGCTTGGTGGGCATGTCTCGATCCAGACCAAGCACGCCAGCTTTCCTGGTCAGGCCGAGACTGTCCTCTGCGCCTCACTAGCAGCACTTCGCGTGGGCCCCAGGGTGTTACCCAGAGTTTATGGTGCTGCATGAGGAACCCGCAGAGGTCACATTTCCTGGGATACACACTTTCCTGGGGATGAGCTGCTTATGGAGAGGCCATGAGAGCCACGCAGCGTTTTAAGCAGATGCTCACAGCATCAGAGCTCACTGCAGTGGCGACAGGAAGGGGCTACGAAGCTATGACAGGAGTACAGCACGCACTGCAGTGGGTTCCACGCGGTTATGATTTCGTACTTCGTCTCTCCGTTTGCTTACGTTTCTCTCAACTGCAAATGGCGCCACGTGCAGTCCGTAAGTGTATGCAGACGTTCTGACAAATCTTAACTTTTTAGAACACATTTGTGTATATTTTATGGTAGTCAATGATAAAACAGACTAATATCTACATATATTTTATACAGTCATGACATGACTTTTTCTTATTTTTTTAATATTTCTCAGCTATGTGATTCGGTGACGAGTTTTTTCAAATTGTTACAAATCTCCAAAAAAATGTTCCAATACATTTACTGAAAAAAATCTATGCATAAGTGAACCTATGCCGTTCAAACCCATGCTGTCCAAGGGTCACTGCATGCTATGTCTTAGAGACTAGGTCAAGCTTCCTGAGAGCAAGGACTTCTCGGGACTTCACTGTCCCTTTTATGTATCACGCACGCACGAGAGGCCTATCCATTACTTCTAATTATCATCTTCTGTATTATTCCTGTTATACTTCCCCCAATCCTATAAGGCAGTTATCTTTCCCACTTTATGGCGTGAAAAAAGAGGATAAAGAACGTGCCTAAAGTCAGCCAATACCAAATGCCTAATTCATGATTCAAATACAGGTCTGTGATCTCAAAATATCAACCTTTTTCACGACTCAGATGTTGTGAAATTAGTGACTTCAAGGTGTTTTTGATCTGTACAGTACTTTCAACACATTTTGAATTAGCTACTAATTTTAAAAACCTGGAGATATTACAGTCACGTTTCTCTCGAGGAGTCTGATCCAACAAACAGGGTCGATAGTCCTGCATGGCAATCACTGAGCAGTGACTCCCTGCGGGTATTTTCCACTTTCTCTCCAGCCCCTTCATTTCTGTCCCCTGCCTGGTGGGGACATCCAGGTTTACAGGCCTTGCACCTGCCGTGCTTTAACACAACAGCATATTGTTATTATAGTGCCAACATGAGTTGTGTCTAGAAACAGGAATAGCATTTGTTCTTTCCAGGGATTCACACAGGCCGGAAGTCAAGCCAGGCTCTCCTAGGCCTTCAGTGGAGAACATGAAACTTACAGGTGAACAAAAGAGGGCAAATCATGGATAAATGTTGGAGCTGGGAACAAGCGTGGTGTCTTTTTGGCAATGGGGTTAGCTGGGTCCGAGCCTCACTGTGGAGAGCCTTAAGGGCCAGGCTGAGGGCGGACGGCTAACAACAGCAGTTCTTAGAAGCTTTTGTACAAGAGAAGCAATTAGCTCCTGGAATTGAACTTTTACACAAGATAAACAGAAAAGAACTATTTCATTTTACACTTTCCAGAGAAAGTGGAACTCTACCAAGAGAGTGCCTACTTACTTTAGGTGAACTTCAGTCTGGGAATGTATTGCTTCTCCCAAAACATTCCCAGTTTCATCCACCACAGCAGCTGCCGTATCGTCACAACTGGTCTCAATTCCCAACACGACTTTGTGCAGAAATGCTTTCCCAGGATGAAAGTTGGAACTTCTTAAATACTCATAAATTTTCCCTTTTGATGGTTTAGAAAAAACTCCTGCTGCCTTATTCAATATTAGCATGCTTGCTCTATTGATAGTTCCTGGAAAAGAATGAAAGGAACAAACTAAGTATCATTCGGAATTGGCATTAGCCACTCGACCATTCAGTGAAGCAAAAATTCTGAAAGCTTGGTTTATTTTTTAATGTGTAGTTTTATAAAATTATAGTTAAGTCTTATAAAAGTCAGCAGAAAAATTTAAAGCAACTTGTTATATAATTTATATACTATAATATAAATAACAGTGTGAATGAATGTAATACTTTTTAAGGGGGAAAATAGGGAAGTCAGAGGTAACATTTTTTTGGATTACTGTTACTCTCGTGCTGTTCTTACCAAACCCTTCTTTATTCTTTATAAAACAGCTAATATTACAGTATAACAGTTGCATGGAATAGTCCTTCGGAAAGTGCTATTTATTTCTGTGACTGCTAACATTAAGACAAAATGTGGGTTTTGTTTTTGTTTGTTTTTTAAATCAAATGATAAAGGCAAAATGGATCAGTAAAAACAAATGCATTCTATTTCCTGGAAACATCTTTCAAAATAAAATGTAATCATTTGCAAAAACAGCACATACACAAAATAAGCTTTAGTCAGCTAGTTTACAAACAAGTGTTCTCATAACGTCATCTCACATGAACCATATCTCGACTAAAGAGACTGCAACCGCCTACCTTTTTTATCCACTAGTTACAATTTTTCGAATTAAATTTACCTTTTTGCCAGAGGTTTATCACAACAGGGATGTCCCCAAATCCTCTGTTTCCCAGCACAGCAGCAGTCCATCACCAACGCCCCCTGGCGGTGCCACTTTGCCACGTACCTAGTTTTATGTTCCCAGATCACCTGAAACTCTCTGCGGGCTGCCCTGGCCGGTTGCTCAGCGGTTAGGGCACAGCCCGGGGGGCTGAAGGGCCCGGGTTCGATTCTGGTCAAGGGCACCTCCCTCCGCTGCGGGCTGGATCCCCGGCCCCGGTCTGGGCAGGGGCAGGAGGCAGCCAATCCGTGTGTGATGTTTCTCTCTCTCTCTCCCTCTCTCGACTTCTCTCTCTAAACGTCAATGGTCACTACCGTCAGGCGAGGATTAACAAAACACAAACAGAACCACCGCAGAACGTGCTGGGCGTGTGAGCGGCCCTTTCCCTACACACAGGGGCCGCGCGGAGCAGAGAGCGCACAGGTGTGGGGCTCGCACTGCGGCGCGGGCAGAGTTAGATGCGATCCATCTATGCACAGAGAACAGGGGGTTCGGCTCAGGCAGACACCCCGGAACCGGACGGGCCACCCCTGGAGGCAGGCGAGGGGCTGGGCCCGCGGGCTCCCGGGGACGCCGGGCGCGGCCAGCTGCGCGCACGAAGGCGGGGGTGCCCGCCCGGCTCAGGCGGGGCCGCACCGGGAACCGGGAGGTCACGGCTAGTCCCCGGCCGGGGCTCGGGCCGGGCTGCGGGCTGATTGCGACCGCGGGGCGGGCAGGGGCCGCCGTCCGCGCGCCCCGTCATGGACGCTGCTCCCTCCCGCTCCCCTCCCGCTGGAACCCAGGAACTCGCGCTGAAAGGCGGGCCGCCAGCTGCACGGGGGACCCCGGGGCCGGGACGCGCGGGAGCCCGCAGCAGCCACTCACCCTGAGCGCGGGCCGCGGGCGCCTCTGCTCCCTCCGCGCGAGGGCGCTCCGCCGGCCGGGGCTGGAGCCCGGCCCGGCGCCGGACGTGATGTCATCGGTCGGGCCGGCGGCCGGTGGCGTCACCGCCCCGAGGAGGCGCGCGGGAAGTCCGGCTGCCCCCGGGCGCCGGGCTGCTAGGGACGCTCGCCGTCTGGCTGGACGCGGACGCCCCGGTCGGAGCAGCCTGGGCAGGGGTTCGTCCTCCCGTTCCCGAGGGCCATCCACCTACCGGTGCGGCCTGCGACACCCCACATCCTCTGGGCCGTGGGCCTGGGGCGCCGCAGGGCGCGGGGTTCCCAGAGGACGGCAGCCTCTCCGCTCGGACTCCCGCTGCTCCCGGTGGAAAGGGCTGGCTCGTTCTGCGGTGAAAACCAAAGGGGGTTGTAAAAATTCACGCCTTTAAAGTCTTCATGCCCGACTTTTAGGGTGCATCGTGCACAGACCTGCAGCGTAGTCTTCCTCGTGTTCTTGCTCCCCTTTTATTTTTCTTCTGTTGACAGGTGGACTTGTCACCATTGGTTGGGGCAGGTCTGTCCCCCGAGGCCGTCTTCCTGCGTGGCTTCGGGGTTCACTAAGGGGGACCCTGCGATGCCAGGTGGGCAGCGCCGGCGCCTGGCAGGTGAAGCTCCGGTTAGTAAGATGATGAGACCAGGGGGGAATCAGTGAGGGTCTCGTGATAGACAGACATGTAAACTCATAATTAGAATGTTAGGGACAGCTTTTCAGGTGAAACTTACCGTTTCCAACATTTTTAATCCTGTGTGGAGTCATCATAATGAGCAATGAAGGGGCGCTTCCCGTGGGCACTTCCCATCGCCGGCCCGATGCAGACTAACTTGCTGAACCCTCCCAGCCACCCGTGAGGGACTCCCGTCTTCATTTACGGGAAAAGCGGGTTCACAGGATGTGGGCATCCAGCTACCAGGTGCAGAGTTAGAGTCAGGCTCTGGTCTGTTTTCTTAACTACCCGGTAACTCCTATTTTCTCTGGGCTGCCTTGTTGACCCCAGAGAGACAAAAAGAGAAAAATTAAGACCTAAAGAAAGAGAAGAATTAGTCGTCCCGACTGGCCATGGCAGGTCGGAGGTGGCTGTTATGCACTGAAATCTCGCCTGGCGTGGCGGTTTCTCTTGCCACGTGAACCAGTGGGCTCAGGTGCCCAGTGCCCGCCTGTGCTGCCCAGCATTATCCTCTGTTGTGTTCGTGTCACTGGTGGATCCTCCTCCAGGCACTCTTGGCTGACGCGGAGTCTGAACGTTGCATGAGGTGGAACAGCAGAACTCTAGGACACAGTGGGGGGGAATTTTATTCCGCCTTTGACTGAGTGCATGTTAGAAACTTAGACCCGATGCACGTGCTGTATTTGGCAAGTAAAGGTGTCCTCCTTCCATGCTCGTTATTGCACTAGGGGAGAAGTTATTGGAGGAACGGCATGGGTACTCTGGACGGGGCATCTAGGCTTTCATCTGATCACATCATGGTTTGAGTGCCACTTACCGGCATTCTCAACGAAAGATGGCCTAACCACTGAAACTTCAGCTTGAACTGAGAGTTCCAAATAGATCTGAACATGTTCGTTTGTCTCTATCGTCTAACTTCCCATTTGTATAGAGGAAAATTATATACAGAAGAATCTTTACAATTCTCATTCCCTACTTACATCTTACTAAATTGGATTTTAACACGTATTGTGGGGGTTCTTTCCTTTGGGCCAGAACTTATTAGTTGTTAAGAGATAAACTATCCATTCCCTATCTTCAAAGAACCGAGTCTAACAACAGGCAATTGCAATACAGCATTAGGGAAAGTGTACGTTGAGAAAGGGCACTAAGGTGGTGTAGCTTCCAGATGTATCCATAACCTAGCAGGCCTTGGTGCGAGTGCTGGGTTTCAACATCTGATTCTTATATAGCTTCAAACTGGTTTATGAATATGGTTTATGCGGTACCAGAGCACACATTCAATTTGCTAATAAACTATGTAAAAACTATTATACTACTATGTTAATTATGAGGAATGCAACAATGAGCTAGGACAGTTGACCTGGCTGGTCTTCACCTTGACCAGATCACAATGAAAACCAGATTCAAGCCAGAATCGGAGGACTGTTTAGTAAATAGGGAATGAAAGCAACAGAAATGGGTTTGGTGCTTCCAATGTGTCTTCGTAGCTTCGGTTGTGCTAAAAAATAGTCATTTGCCTCTCTTTTCCTTTGCTAAGAAATATCTTTTGATATGAAACATTCTTTCATTCATGGTAATACTGTCAAGCAGGTCTCATCTTTGGAAGATATTTTGTTCTTTGTTTGCTGAGTCATTATGCTTCTTTCATAAATTTACCCTAAGATGATTTTAACCATTTTTATGTGTGCAGTTTAACAGTATTAAGTACATTCGTACTGTCGTGCAACCATCACAACCATCCATCTCCAAAACTTTTACATCTTCCCTAAATTTGTATCCATTAAACACTAATTCCCTATTACTGTGGGACCCTTTTCTCCCCACCTCCTCTGGCCTCTGGCAACCACCCCACCACTGTTTCTGTTTTTATGACTTTGATCATGAAAAGAAAACCATCATTTAACAGCACTACATGTTGAACACTTGAGGTTTTAGTGACTGCCATTTACTTGCTTAATTTTTTGCCCCATGGCATTTATTATTACATTAAATGATATGTATTCATTTATTCATTTATTATCTATTCTCCAGCTAGACTATAAGCACATAAGGGAAAGAACTTGGTTTGTGTTGTTTACAAACTGTATCCACAATACCTGAAATAATACCTACAGCAAATATCTATTGAATAAATATTTTTTTAATATATTTTTTTATTGATTTTTTACAGAGAGGAAGGGAGAGAGATAGAGAGTTAGAAACATCGATGAGAGAGAAACATCGATCAGCTCCCACTGGGGATGTGCCCGCAACCCAGGTACATGCCCTTGACCGGAATGGAACCTGGGACCCTTGAGTCTGCAGGCCAACGCTCTATCCACTGAGCCAAACCGATTTCGGCGAATAAATATTTTTAAAACATGGTGAAAGTGGGAAAAATAGCAGAAGGCCTGGATTACAGCCAGATTTCTATCTCTGAAGTATGTGCAAAAATAGTAAGCCTTCGGAGATAAAGTTTAAAAATTAAGAAAAACAAAGTACTATTTTAAACTTTTTATTTTTACAAATTCAGTTGCTGAAAATACACCTTGAAAAATAACAGTATAACACTGATGACTGAATTTGGAGATTTTGCAATAATCCTACACCAAAGAAAATTTTTATTGAAGTATTTAAAAATATACGGAAAAAAAAGAATACACAGGAAAAGACAAATATACAGAGGCATTATCATACAGCTGATTTCTAAAGTCAATACTTTTGAAATATAAAACAATTATCCCCAAAAGTCAGTTTACTGAAACAAACTGATTTTAAGTTGGTCTATAACTTTTCATTCAATTTTGTTTACAAATGTTCCTAGGGTTTTCAGTTTCATCCCATATCAGATCTGTTTTTTGGAAATATTTACTTCTCAAAGTTGTATATAGTTACTTCCTGCAATTAATGTCAGCAAATATAGGGAGCTTCTCTAGTCACAAGAATTCAGTATGGCTGCTGCTCTGGAAATAGTTACCATATTGGGTTACCTACATGAAGACTCAAGTACTGAAAGTCCAAATATTGGGGAAAGTATGAGGACTGAGAGCAGGAGGACTAAGGAAAGATGGTATTATCTTTAACTGCAGACCTGCTGGAAAAGACTCCACTAATTACTTTGGTACTAGTGCTAGAGAAGCAGTTGCTGCCAAACCACAAGTTGGCTATATAACTGTCCATTTTGTATTTCCTTTTCTAAAGAATGAATTAAATAATTAGATTGCTCAAATAAGCAGAGACTTTTAAGTTACAATATAGTTTAACTGTGAAATAAATTATTTTATTTAATTGGTTTAGCAGCCTTGGGTCTGCAAAGGAAGCAAACCCCATTTTGTTTCAAAATTAGAAGGCTGACTCAGAGGCTGTTTGTAAGATGCCTAACTATCTTCTATCGCCAGTCAGTCTTGAACATGGACCTTCGTGAACTCAGTAACTTAAATCAATGTGAAAATGATCTCATCCCTCAACACACAGTGTTGAGCCAGCAAAATGAGGGGGAAAAAAGTACAAGGTAGGAATTGGCTTATATCCTCTTATACAGCACAAGAGGAATATATATGGCAATAAAAACAATCTACATTAGACTTGTAAAGAGATGATTTTGGTGTACATGTAAGTTGGCTTAAACTGACCATAGCGGAATGATTGGAAAGTTTCTTCTCCTAACGTAATGCCCATTCATTATAAACTAAGCTGGTCTTAGTATCTACTACACCCTCATTTTATAGCCATTTAACTTACAAGCTGGGCCTGCCCAGCCTCCCTCTAAAGCCTCTCTTGAGAAAGGTACCAGGTGCATTAAGCACAGGCATCCTCCCGTAAGAATGTGCACTTCACACAGCATATGAAGAACCAGCACTAGGCTCTCCAACGTAAACACCTCTCATTTCACACTATCATGGGAGCAGTTTACTGACCACTCCTTCCTTACAGGCAACTCAGCAGCTGTAAACGCTTTCCTTCAGTTCCAAAGCCTTTCAATACTTGTTAATTCCAAAAATCCGAACACCATGTAGCTGTGGCACTTTGGGAATCAGCACACTCAGGAGAGAAGCTGTGTTCAGCATGAAGTGAGTTGGGTCATACTTCGTATAGAAACTTGCCAGAAAATATCTGTAGAAATAAAAGTTAATATATTTAACGTCTAAAAATAAAATTACTTATAATGAAGGCATATGTGCACATTTTCACTTCTGCAATTCTATTAAATGCATTTAATAAAATATGTTTGCTACTTAGCATCCTTTACGGCAGGCTTTCAAACGAGGGTTCACGTGCTCCCTGAAATTTCAGGTGGAGTTTTATATTTGTGTGTTTCCGAAGAGAAGATTCAGATCCAAAGATACATCATATTCTCTAAGGCGGCAGTTCTCAACCTGTGGGTCGCGACCCCTTTGGCGGTCGAACGACCCTTTCACAGGGGTCGCCTAAGACCACCCTGCATATCAGATATTTACATTACGGTTCACAACAGTAGCAACATGACAGTTATGAAGGAGCAACGAAAATAATGTTATGGTTGGGTCACAACATGAAGAACTGTATTTAAAGGGCCAGAAGGTTGAGAACCACTGCTCTACGGGTTCTGTGGCCCACCAAAAGGTTAAGAACCACTATTGTGAAGTTGAGAAAAATGGGGTTTAGTGCATCAGTATAATTAGTGTCTTTGAACAAAAGCAAACACTTGGTTGCCCTTTTTAATGGTCTCATTTCCATACTGTAGATAAACAAATCTACAACCAGTTTAACTGGAAACTTGAAAGACGCTGTTGTAAAATTTCAGTTGTTTTGCTATTAACTGAACATACACATACATATTCAAAGACACCCAACACCTGAGAATTTAACAAGCCTAACCCAACTGTAAGGCCATAAATCATCGAGTCAGAAAATCTAGTTTTACCCAAGCACTACATCAGAGCACAGACACATCATCTGGCCCCTAACAACAGTACCCTAATATAGACAAGATTTAGAGAATAAAATATCATAACTAAGAAGTTAGTTTGCATATGGGTGTTTCGTATTTTTAGAGCACACAGGAAAGTATTCTTACAGCTTTTCGCCTAAGTATTGCTGTTAGTTTCTCATAAGGGAGATAACTATTTAAATATGGTTAAAAAACAAAAGCTATTTTTAAATGACTAAAAATATCAGAGCTGTGCACATCATTTTCAGATCTAAATTAAGAAATTCTAGTGTCTTAAACTTACTTTACAAACTATATAGTCAGAAAATTCTTGAGAATAATCCATATTCCTTAATCTTTACTTTTAAATCCTTTCTTCCTGTTTTCATATACTTTAGCACTGTTTTCCTCATTCAATGAACAAAATAGGATACCACTTGCATTTAGTAAGCTTATTTAATTTCCCATCATCATTATGGGTTTAATCTATAATCTGTCAGAAATAATAAATCTTCTCAGAATGTTTTCAATTTATCATACCATAGCATATGTCCCCTTTATGTCTTTTAATGCAATGGTCGCCAACTGGTGGTCCACGGACCACTGGTGGTCTGAAAGGTTGGCGACTGCTGTTTTAATGAACAAAAACTGTGTGTGTAGACTATATAAAAATTACTTTACTATACAAAAAAACTAGACAATCTTCCAAGGAGATACAAAACCAAGTGGGAATCAGTGTGATAGTGTTTATTTGCCAAAGAATATTCTAGAAAGAGACCTGTATTAGAAGCCAGAAGTTTAGGGTTTCATCTGGGCTTTTGGCTCCAACTACCTGCAAGATTTGGAGCAAGGCAATGCATCTGAGACTGTTTCTTTTTAAAAACTTGGGCTAACAATTCACATCTCACCACCTGACAAATAATGATCAAATAAGAAAATGTCTTATTGTCACCAAATAGTATCAATGCTATATAGATGGTTTTAATGCTGTCTTTTCAGTTATGTAAGGAATTTAATTAGATGCCAGATATAAGGTTAAATGCTTTACAGATGTTATATCATTTAGTTTTTATAGTTGACTAGAGGCCCGGTATACGAAATTCGTGCACGGGGGTTGGGGGTCCCCTCAGCCCAGCTTGCACCCTCTCCGATCTGGGACCCCTCGGGGGATGTCCGACTGCTGGTTCCCAGGAATTGGGCCTAAACCGGCAGTCGGACATCCCTCTCACAATCCAGGGCCGCTGGCTCCTAACTGCTCACCTGCCTGTCTGGTCGCCTCCAACTGCCCCTCCCCACCGGCCTCGTCGCCCCCAACTGCACCCCCTGCCAGCCAGGTTGCCCCCCGCAGCCTGCTGTTCGGTCAGTCGTGACAGCCCCTGGCTTTTTATATATTAGGATGCCACAGGCTAGAATTTTATTTATGAGCAAATTAAACTGGCCAACTGATCCAGGATTCAACCCAGGTCTACACTATCTTCTAGACCAGGGGTCCTCAAACTATGGCCCGCGGGCCACATGCAAATACAAATATTGTATTTGTTCCCGTTTTGTTTTTTTACTTCAAAATAAGGTATGTGCAGTGTGCATAGGAATTTGTTCATAGTTTTTTTTTAAACTATAGTCTGGCCCTCCAACGGTCTGAGGGACAGTGAACTGGCCCCCTGTTTAAAAAGTTTGAGGACCCCTGGTCTAGACCAGTGATTTTCAACTGGTGTGCTACAAGAATGTTTAAAACATGCAGTACCTCACTATTCAGTCAGGGGCACTGATCTCTTTTCCTAGATTCTCAAATAAAAAAATGTCAACAGCCAACAATGGCCACCTGGTGTAAATGAATCAAAAGTATACTTTTTTTGGTCAGATCGGCAAAAAAAATATACATTTTGGCGTGCCACACAATTTTAGTAATAAACATGTTCCATGAGATGAAAAAGGTTGAAAATCACTGCTTAAAACCATGCTTTCTTTCCCAAGGAGTTTGAACATCCAAACAGGGCAGGTGGTCAATGAAGTATGTCTGAAACTGTCCAAGCCCTTGTTTAGAGAGATCAATCTGTAGTGGACTGTAAATAAGACTATGTGTTTAGTTTTCTTACAAGCAACTTATGAACATGAACTGGAACACATTTGACCTGTATATCCCAGAATGCCTAGGCATACTGATGGGCGTGGTCTGTTGTCTCCATATGCTACTGACTGAAGTGAAAACTGCTTTGTTACAGTTTGTTAAAGATTTTGCCTGCATTTTATATTTTATCTGAGGTAGCTATTTATTGACAGAAGTTTTTGTGTTTTTTCAAAAATATATTTTATTGATTTATTACAGAGAGGAAGGGAGAGGGATAGAGAGTTAGAAACATCGATGAGAGAAACATGGATCAGCTGCCTCCTGCACACTCCCCACTGGGGATGTGCCCGCAACCAAGGTACATGCCCTTGACCGGAATCGAACCTGGGACCCTTTAGTCCGCAGGCCGATGCTCTATCCACTGAGCCAAACTGGTTAGGGCTATTGACAGAAGTTTTTAACAAAATATTATTTCTAATTCAAATTCAATCCAATAAAACAATAGCTGCCTCTCGTCTAATCCTCCTCATTCCTAAAAATTTCCACCACTTACAGAATTATTGGAGAAATTGTGAAGAACTTCCGTGAAGACGTAAACTGTACTCCATAGTCCAGTTGTTCCCAGTGAGTTAGGAGCCTTGCTCTGCCCTGGTCAGGAGTTTCGAAAGGTGTTCCTTTCACAGCGTGCAGAAACACATACATCCCCTGGAAAACACACACGGAGCGTATCAGCAACAACACATACGAAAGTGCTATTTGTCAGTCAGCACTAAGATAGTTCCAGACCATTTGTGACAAAGTATGAGATTAACTTACAGCTCAAGTTTTAACCTTTCTCATTATTGTTTCCTCAGAGTACAATAAAACTTCCAGAGGCAGATAAATATCATTTGGTGAAAACCAGTGAAAATTCAACCAAAAGTAACCTGCTTTCATCTTTTTTTAAGTTGAAAATAAGCAAAAAGTGTATCAGGGTAACTTTATATCATTACATTTAGATTTTCTTCTACGACCTTTCCTGTGAGGAAATAGGGTGACATTTTCCCCAATGGGCAGGAAAAGTTTATTGTGGCATATTAGTAAGTCTGATAATATTTATAAAATAAAAAAGACAAATTAGTAAATAATAGTCATAAACAAAATCTCTGTATCAGAAAAAATGGTTTTGAAAATATTTAACATTAGAACTGTCTTTGTCCCAATAGCTCTCTTCCAAAGCAACAGAGATGGTTTGCTGTAGGCATAATGTTCTACTCAACTTGCTTTTAAAGTCACAACTGTGCCTCAAAAGTGTGTCTTTTGAAGTTTTAAAAAATAAACAAAATATTACTAAAAGCCAATGTGTTCAGTAATATGTTGAAATATCTAATTTTGTAATTAATTAGGAAAAAAACAATGTATACTAGATTTTTTTCCCTTGTGATTATGATACCCAGTTAGACTGCTAGGTAGGGCTTCATTGCAGGATCCTATCTGAGGAACTGGTAACAATTAAGTCTAAATATTATGACAGCTTTTCCCACTCGAAGTCATAATGTGATGCCTTTTCTACTCCTACTTCAACAAATATATGGAAAAAACACACAGAAAAATTGGTGATTTAAAATTTGACATTAGTGCAGGTTAAGAGAGCCCTTGTTTTCAAAGCTTAGTCTACTTCCTATTCCATTAGGCAATTCAAAAGTTGTTTAGCTGCAATAACAGCTAAGCTATACAGTAATGATCATGTTCAACTGGATTTAACTCAACATACAATAAGTTAAATGTACGCACCACAGGACATGCGTGCATATATGAACTGAACAGACACACAGCCTGAAAAACATCAATCTCCTAAGAGATGGTTAAGGGAAAAAGATGTACAAACAACCAGAATGCAGGGCAGCAACTGTACAATCAGGGCACTCGGGAGATGCAGGGAAAAAGGTTCCTTGTTGCTGAGGCAACAGCCCGATGCTACCTTGTCAACTGCCTCATCCTTGAAGGTTCGGCTCAAATGACTACTCTTTTGTGCAGCCCTCCACAACAGTAATAACCTCTTGTCTGCATGGTTGAATTTTATTGGTAATACTTTTATTATAGCACAATACATATATTGTGCTGGAGTTGTTTACATAATGTTTGTTTTCCCATTAGCCTGAATACGTCAGGAACAAGGGCTGGTATACAGCAAGTACTAGATATGATGCCAAGATGACATTAAGCCAAGGAATGTTTATTCTGTTAGCATAAGGGAAACATTTTCACGTGGGCTTTAAAGGAAAATATGAGACAGAAATTGTATGGTTTCAGATTCTTAGGAGTATGTTGTTGTCTACTCTAGATCACATAATGTGTTAGAATTATCAAGAGACGAACAATCCTGGTTTTCCCATCAGTATTTAGGATATACGTAATATTCATTGTATATATCATTTTCAATGAAAAAGAATAAAACCTTATCTGGTCATATATCTTCTACTCTTATCATCATTATTATTATTTTAAATATATTTTATTGATTTTTACAGAGAGTAAGGGAGAGGGAGAGCGTTAGAAACATCCATGAGAGAGAAACATTGATCATCTGCCTCCTGCACACCCGCTACTGAGGATGTGCCCACAACCAAGGTACATGCCCTTGACCGGAATGGAATCTGGATCCTTCAGTCAGCAGGCCGACGCTCTATCCACTGAGCCAAACCCATTAGGGCTACTCTATTATTTTTATTTTTAATAGTTTTTCTATGAAATTTTAGCAATTTATACCCACATCAAAAGAATTAGGGCCCTAACCAGTTTGGCTCAGTGGATAGAGCGTTGGCCTGCAGACTGAAGGATCCCAGGTTTGATTCTGGTCAGGGTTGCAGGCTTGATCGCCAGTGGGGGACGTGCAGGAGGCAGCTGATCAATGATTCTCATCATTGATGTTTCTATCTCCCTCTCCCTTCCTCTCTCTGAAATCAATAAAAATATATTTAAAAAGAAAAGAATTAGGAAAAAAATGTAGCTCATAGTTAGCCCTTAATAAATATTTACTGACTCAAAAAGAATTCTCATTCATTTTAAAAGCTAGGCAAAAAATTTGGCAAAGTATTAATACCTCTAAGGTGAACTGTAACACGAAGAAAAACAGTCACTAAGGGGTCCACTGCATGGTTTCAGAAAGGCAAAGACTGTATTTTTTCTAACCAGGGATACCACTTAGGTCTACTTTCCTGTATTTAAAAGCATTCAGCATGTAGCTCACATTTTTAATTGTTTTAATGTAGGCTATCTTCAAAAGAAACTTAAATTTGGAGTCACATAATTGCTACAGCTATGTCTGGTTAGGTAGGTTTTTAGTGTGGTGACCTACGTCAGCAGTTTGTTCCCTGCATGTTGTCAATTTCCTATCCTTTTCCATGGCCATATACGCACTGTGCCTCAATCTCAGTCAACCCAACTAAAAACACGAGGGAGTAAGAGGACTTCTAAAGTACATTTAGTACATATGTCATAGGAGAAGGAAAAATTACAGGACTACACAGACTAATTCATTCAGCAAACACTGAAATAGGTATTGGGGATACAGAAATAAAAAATAACAAAGATAAACTGCTAATTGTAAAACTATCATAAATACAAGAAAGCAGCGTGGTGTTGTGCAGCTTCCTGGAGGAGGTGATACTTGAGTAGAGTTTTCCAGAACAAGGAGGAATCAGGAAGAGCAGGAAGAAGGCAGGGCCATTAAATACAAGAGCTTACATTAAGGCAGAAACGTGAGAGCAAGACGATTTTCATCATCGTTACTATGTAGCTTGTGTCTGGAGATGGTCTGTAACAAACTGAGTTCCCTTTCTTGCTTCCAGTTACCAAAAGGTGTTGTATCCCACAAGGGACTTGGCATTTTACTTTGAATGTAACGGGATCACTGAAGGATTTAAACAGTGTGACTTGAGCAGACATGCATTTCAAACTATCAAGCTGGAATAGAAGAAAGAAGAGGAGCACCAAGGAGACCATTTATCTATTGCAGCGATTTTCAGCCTTTTTCAGCTCATGGCACACATAAGCTAATTACTAAAATTCTGCGGCACACCAAAAAATACATGTTTTGCCCATCTGACAAAAAAAAATGTATAATTTTGATTCATTCACATCTGCCTATTGTTGTGTTGGCTGTTGTCTTTTTCATTTGACAATAAGGGAAAACAGATCAGTGCCCCTGACTAAATAAGCAGATATTGCATGTTTAAAAATTCTTCCCGCACACTGTTTGAAATGGCTGATCTTTTCGAGTAATTGACAGAAAAACAAGTGCATGATTTACAGCAATGCCAGTGGGGACTAAGTGGAGAGGCAATAAGGCAGAATGGACAGGGTTTGGCTGAATGAATAGAAACATATAGGAAAGGGGGTGACCTGAAGACTGGGGTGACCACATCTGCTAGTTTGCAAGGCGGCCCTGACTTACACCTGTTCCGTCGAGCAGTTCATACTACAGTCCCTTTACCCTCCACACAGCCTGTTTGGATGATACTATATTAATCTCTTTTCCTTTGTCATCCAGCTGTCTGGCTTGTAAGACAGTGGTGCTTTTAGATTAGGATCAAAGTCAAAGGACTAGATTGGGGGTAGTAAGAAATAGATCAGGAATGGGCTCAATTTATACTTGTTTGGTTTAAGGTGAAAGATGATCATTCTTCTAAAAGTAGAAATTGGAACTATGGAAGGATGAGGTAACTTAGAATATATAGCGTAAGAAGAGATGAAGAAAAGAACCCTGGGGAAAGAAAGCAGGAAGTACAAGAGGAAAGAAAAAAGATCAGAAATATATAGGAAAAAGCAATACCATGACCGCCAAAGGAAAAGAATTCCAATAGAAGGGATCTGATTAACGACGAATATTTCAGAGAAGTTACTATTTCAAAATGGTGTTTGCCCTACCAAAATCTGTCACTGAAAATGGACCAAATAAATGCACATCAGCATGTTTTTACCACATCACCCTTGTCCTCCTCTCATCAACTTTAAATACTCTCTAGAAATAAAATAAGTAATATTAATTTTTAAAAATCTATTCCACATTTTTCTGTCTTAAGTTCCAAGGCTACATAATATGGTCAGCAGAGCTGATCAAACCTCTGATACTTTTGAGAGCTATCATATAATACAGAAGTGTGGTAATCAACTTGAAGAAGCTAAGGCACCATAAGGTCCTGAATCACATAAAATATGATTAAGCTCAAAATGTCTATACAGAAGTAGGAAAGTATACTTATAAAATTTAGAAAGACTTAAGGATTGAAACAAAAAAATATTCATTAGACTCCAATTAGCCAAAAATATATTACTTCTTCTGAAGTATTCTGGTCAATCAATATAATGTAGTAGCCTGAATTACAGTGTCTTTGACATTTTTGCTAAAATGACCTACTATTTTCTAGATTCTAGAAAACCAATAGAAGGAAAAAAGTCTTACTTAGAAAAGGGCCCAATGTTTAAATATAAAGTATAATAGAAAAATATATTCCCATTCCAGACACTAAAATCACTGAGCTGGACACTTAAAATGGGTGACTTATATTATGTGAATTATATATCGTAAAAAAAACTAAATCATGTGTTCTTTATAAGAAAACTTTTAAGCTTGTTAAAAAATTGTGTTTAAGTACAGGTAACATAAAATGTACCATATCAGTCATTTTCTAAGTGTACCGTGGAGTGGTATAAAGTACATTCACATTGATAAGCAAACAGCTCCCCCATCCATCTCCAGAACGCTGCATCTCGCAAAGTTAAAACAAAACGCTCCCCGTTAAACAGTAACTCCGCACCCTGGCCTCCCCATCCCTGCCCATTAAGCCTTAGCTTCCCGTGCTCAGGATGCGGTGAGTCCTTACCAGGTTGTGTATAACATTTGTCAAGGTCCAGGCCACGGGAACGCTGAAGAAGGGGATGCTGAGCAAGACGATGTGAAGCAAGCCCACGCCCAGGGCGTAGGTCAGCCATATCCCCCGGCTGTTCATGACCCGGGTGTTGGGGTTCACCTCGCTGTGGGCCACGCCAACGTTCATGTTTGCCCTGTAGGAAAGCAGTGACATGGATCAGCACCGACATAGCTGGAACCTAAATAACCCCAATTCTGACCTGATCAAATAAGTGTCGGTAACCAGGATTATTCTTTTTCCTAGTTGTTCTGACACGGAACAAACACACCCTCTCGAATATGCTACTTGCAGGTGCTGACAAAGGCAGTCAAGAATTCTTACCATCTGACTTGATGGTAAGACAAACAAGACTTGTTTTTATAGTTCTTGTGGAAAAAACAAACAGTTTAAACCCCTTTCCTAATGACAACGTGTCTTCTAGCATGCTGGTTTTACTAAATGAGATAATGGGCAGGAGAGCTCAAAGTGAGAGAGAACCTACATTTTCTTATGCCGTGAGAGCAAAGGGAACACTCGGGAGCTCAACTGATCAACAGAATCAATTAGTACAAAGAAACAACAGACAGACCCTCTGGGAGAACGCGGGGCAGCCGGGCTCCGGCGGCGACAGCTGGTGACGCCGACACGCAGCGAAGCCTCGGGTTGGCACCTGCAAGTCCCGTCCCGACACCCCGGCACCGCACGGTCTCTGTGGGGGGACAGACCCCGCTCGGACGCCGTTCCCACTGCCCGTGTGTGTGTGTGTGTGTTGGGGGTGCTCCAAAGACGCCCCAAAAGCCGCCTGCGCTGCCGGGGCGGGGGGCGGTCCTGCCCGGGCTCGGAGCCTTCCCGGGGGGCTGCGGGGACGCGGGCTTCACGCGGAGAAAGCCTCCCCGCGCGGCCCCGAGGGCGCCGTGGTGCGACGGGGAGGGCTCCCAGCCTTCCACCCAGCGCCCCGCAGGCCCCGCCCGCCACCCAGCGCCCCGCCCGCCCGAGCCCCCGGGGAGCGCCCTTCGCCCGCCCGACGCCCTGAAGACCGGCTCCACGATCGCCACCGCCGCCCCGCACCCCCTCCGCCCCTTTCCTCTCGGAGCGGCACGTCCGTCACGTCCGAGGCCCGACGACACGTCGTGGGTGCGAGCCTCGCTCAGAGGCCGCTGGGGGCCGCTCCGCCAGCCACAAAGGGCGCGCGCAGGCGGCCGGCGCCCAAGGCTCCCGGAGGCCCACTGGGCTGCCTCCCCGCCGCCCGCAGCAGCCCGCCCGCGGCCGCCGTCCGCTCCCACTCACCCTCCACCACACGCCCGGGGGCCGGCACGGAGAAGGACCGGCTCCGCGGCGTCGCGTGTCCTCGCAGCCAAACGCCAGCGGCCCGCCCCCGAGCCGCGCAGCCCCGCTCAGCTCACGGAAGCGCTCGGCGCCGGACGCGCTGCCCGCGGATTGGCTGCGTGCGGTGCCAATCCCACGCTCGGGGGCGGGATTAGGGCCACGCGCCTGCGCCTGAGCCCGCCCCCACCCTGCGCGCGCGCGCCGAGGGCGAATCCGGCGTCCGCGAGGCCGGGCGTGGGCTGCGGGCGGGACGGCGGCTGGTGGCTGGTCGTGGCCCACGTCGCGCGAGCGAGAAGGTAGTGTCGTGTGGCTCCCGGGCACTCACTCGTGTGCTCTTGTGGGCTCGGGCCCCTCCCCTCGGCTCGCCCTGGCCCGCGCGCGAGCGCCCCTCCCCCAGGCCGGGCGGGAAGCGGACGAGCCGGGCCGCGGGCGCGCGCACGTGGCTCCGCCGGGGGAGTGGCGGCCTGGGTCTGCCCCTGCCGAGTCGTGTGCGGGCCTCCGTGGCCGCCGGTTCCCCGGTTCCCCAGGCCCGCGGCGTCGTTGGCCGGCCCGGCGGCCTGGCAGCTGGCGGCGCGGTGTGTGCCGTGCGTGGCGCCCGGCGAGCGAGCGGGGCGCGCACCCTCCTCGGTGCCGGCTTTTTCCGCGCCGGCGGCTCCTGCGCCCCATGCGGAGGAGATGGGGGTGCGAAGCGTTGGTTTCCTCTGAGAACCGAGGGGAGAATGGAGAGTCTTGGGAGCCATGATTTGAAACCGCGTTACATGACTTGGCCGCGCACAAAGCTTGGGATTGGGATGCGCATCGCCGAGGTCGCTGTCAGCAACATGTCGAAGGTGGTGTTCGGGAATGACGACATATAGATATATAGCTATAGCTATAGCTATAGCTATAGCTATAGCTATAGATATAGATATAGATATAGATATAGATATATCCTATATTATAACAGCCTAATATGCAGATTGTCCCCTTGTCCGGGAGTTCGACCAGGGGGCGAGGCCCTTCTGGCAGCTGCTAGGGACCCTACCCGTGCATGAATTTCCTGCACTGGGCCTCTAGTGTATGTGTATATGTATATACATATATATAAGTATATATATATATATATATATACACACACACACACACACACTCCTTGCATTTCTGCTGGCTCTGTGGACAGTTGTGTTAGACTTCCTATGTCCATTAAGTAAACCTTTTCACTGTGTTGGTCTCTGACTTCCGCTTCGTGTCGGGCCAGCGCTGCCCTCCCTGACGGTCAGGGCGTGCGTTCCCCTCCGCACACCTGCACCCCCGCACACCTGCACCCCGCACACCTGCAGGCGGAGTCCTGGCGCCCCCGGGATCCCGGCTGGGACCTGCACGCCCCATACCCACCCTTCACGTTTCCAAAGGTGCCGCTGGCAGCATGCGCCGTGTCAGCCTCGCCGTGTTGCAGAGCTTCTGCGAAGGGATGGCGATGAACACAAAACCTCTGTCCTCGAGACCCCTGCGCCATGGAGGGGACGGAGAAGCGGGGGCCGGAGCCACCTGTGAGGGGTGTGGGGCTGGCGTGAGCGAGAGGCGCTGGGGGATGGAGAGGAAGGAAGCTTCGAGGGTCGGTGGGCCCTGAACCACAGCTGGAGGGGGTGAGCCTTGGGAGCCTGGAGAACAGCGGGCTGGGATTAGATAGAGGCCCAGCTGCCAGGGAGTTTGCACTGCACCTGGTTAGTGGTTGGGAATCTTTATAGCATTTCGACTAGGGAAGCAACATGATGAAATTTAAGTTACAGGCAGAAAACCCTACAGGTGATTGAGACTCGAGGCGAAATGTCTGCTAGGTGGTTATTGCAAAGTACAAGGGTGCGATTTTGAGGGCCGAGCAGAGGCAGTAGCTGCAGCTGTAGCTCTAGAAAGGAGAGGACTCCTTTGAGAAACGTTTAAGCCGTAGGAGAGAGGACTTGGTGGCAAGGTGTCGGGAGTAAGGAGCACTTCTAGGGCGACGGCAAGGTTTCTAGTTTTGTCTTGTGAGAGGAGCATGGCCTTCGGAGGCAGGCACGCTCAGGTGTGCAGGTGTGCGTCTGTCACTTGCTATTTGTGTGACCTTAGACGCGTTACTACGCTTTTAAACCTAACCTGAGATAGAAGAATGATAATACACGGATGGTGGTTGTGAGGACTAAATGGGGTTTTATGTATATAACAGGTTATATAAAAGGCGGTTTATGTATATAGAAGGTTAATGAGAGGGAGATTCTGAGATCCGTTTGGGAGGCGTTCGGTGTAGGATGCCTGCAGGTCATCTAGGGGATGGTACTTAGAAGGTATTAGGAGATAAGGCCCTGCCTTGGTTCAGGACAGAGTCTGTGAGGAGATACAGGGAGCTAAGGGAGGCCTAGTGGAGGCCAGTGAAAACAGAGTGTGTCAGGGAATGAGGGAAGGCAGCCGTCACGTGCTGGGAGAGGGAGCTTTATCTTACGTTGGCTTTGGGGAGCCCACGACTTGAATGTTTTCAGCAGAGTCGTGTAAAGGGTAGTTACCTGATATGTCTGGGATCTGACTAGTTCGGATCAATGGTAATTTGCCGGGACCGGCAGACGGATGAATGACCACTCTGCACGTATCTGAAAGAGAGGCCACAGGCTAGTTGGCATAAGGAGCCAAAAAAGCCCCGATTGCCTGCCTCCTTAGGCTTTTATTGTCACAACAGCTTGAACTAAGACTAACCTCTAGATACAATCAGCAGGGTAAGCATCCTTGAGAAAACACCTGCATCTTAGTGTCTTTCAAACCAGGATGTTTGAAGTCTAAACATAAAGATTCTGGTAAACGCCTGGGCTCAGACCTGTGTGGAAAAGTCAAGGCAGAGTCTGCCGCTTCGGCAAGGTCCCCCAGAGGCCTCTGACCTTCCAGGGAATCCTCCTTACAGACTTTCCAACCACCCATGCTTCCCCACAGTAATTTTAGGTTCAGGAGATCCGAACTCCAAAAGAGCTCAGTCATTTAAAAAGACACTGTAACTCATCAAAACATACGATGACTAATGTTTCCGTGCATCCCAAAGCGACGGCAACCCTGGCCATTCACAGCCTGCAGATCACAGGCCACAGTTGTGCTTACCCTTCTTCAGTTATTACCATAATGGGATTTACCAACTCATTCTCTGTGCCTTAGTCTTATAAAACGGAGATGATAATGGCATCTATGTCAAAGAGTGTTAAGACATAAGTTACTTAATACTGTATGTGCATGCAATAGAGCCTGGCATACAGTGAGTCTCCATAAATGTGAGCTGCTATTATTATTAATGTTGCTATTAGTTCTGATGGGAATGCTTAAGTTTTTATTCTTACAACTTTCATTTTTATCTTCTAGGTACTCTACTAAAAGCTAGAATGAAACAGTTACCTACAGCAACGGTTCGCCTCCTTTCAAGCTCCCAGATAATCACGTCAGTGGTCAGTGTTGTAAAAGAGCTCATTGAAAACGCCTTGGATGCAGGGGCCACAAGCATAGATGTCAAACTGGTGAGTGTCCCTGAGAAGCCAAAGACCTTTAAAGCAAAAAGGGACAGATATTTTCTCCTTACAGCTGTTACCTTTCCAGTAAATTATTCATAGGACATTGTATCCTTTGTTTTGTTTAAGAATAAATTCTCAAAAATAAATTGTGATTTAAATCGACATTAGTAACGCTAAAGGAAATTATAAAAAACACACAAAAACTTCATATTTAGGACTCCATTACATGAATTTAATTTGTATTTCCTAATAATAATTTATTCTAGGTTATTGACATATACTATACTTATTTATATATTCTTATTTGCATTTTATTTTTTACCTAATCTTATTTCAAACTGTTTTCTTTGTTGCTTCATGGTTTTCACATTTTTTTTTTTTTAATATATTTTATTGATTTTTTACAGAGAGGAAGGGAGAGAGAGATAGAGAGTTAGAAATATCAATGGGAGAGAAACATCGATCAGCTGCCTCCTGCACATCTCCTACTGGGGATGTGCCCGCAACCCAGGTACATGCCCTTGACCGGAATCGAACCTGGGACCTTTCAGTCCACAGGCCGACGCTCTATCCACTGAGCCAAACCGGTTTCGGCGGTTTTCACATTTTTTAATTTAAGTGCTATATATTAAGTAATTTGAGTTAACATGACATGACACTCATGATTTATTATAGTTATTTTACATGTCTACCTCCCCTGTTATAAATTACTAGCTCATAGAGGTAAGGACTATATTTTTTTTTTTCATTTTTTTTGTGTCCCTGTACCTAGCCAGTCCTGCTACATAAAAGATGAGTAAATGGTATATAAATAGTGTATAGATGGTGAATAAAATTTTGTTGGAGCAAATGAATACATTTTTGTAGTTTCCTAATTATCAGATATTTACATTATTTCAGGTATTACAGTATTAGAAGTAATACTAATATATTTTTGTAGGAAAAGGAACCTACCCTTTTCATGTATATAATTATCTATATATATAAAAGCCCAGCGACTGGACCGGCGGAATGACCAGAACGGCTGGTGGCTATGACGTGCACTGCAGCAGCCAATCAGCCCCCAATACCCCTGATTGGGGGCGGGGCCGGCTGGACAATTGCCCTCTGCCCCTCCCCTCTGCCGGCCTGGCCTGATGGGCCCCCATTGGGGGGGCCAGCCAGACCCCACCTGTACATGAATTTGTGCACTGGGCCTCTAGTATCTTATAAAATTCGTATAAAAACTCTGTGTATTAACTACTACTATTCCCATTATACAAATAATAAGGTTCTGAGAACTTGCCCAAAGGCATGTAATTTGTAAATAGGGGAGCTGAGATTGGAATTCAGATCTTTCTGACTCAAACCCATTCAAGATCTTTCCTACATGCCAGTGACTCTCATAGTGTTTGGGTGCATCATCATAATTTAAGGAGTTTGTTAAAACAGCTACTGGGCCCCAGAATTTCAGATTCTCAGTGGGACCAAACAATTTGCATTTCTAACAGATTTCTAGTTGATGCTGAGAATGGCTATTCTGTACCATATGGAACCTGTTTTTAAATATAAGCTTTATAAACATGAAAAAAATGATTAAACCCAAAGAAAGACAATTTATTTTTCTTGGACATTTTCTATATTCACTTTAGTCTGATTCTATTACAACTAATAGTAATTAAATAGTACTAGATAATTATATCGAATGTATTTCACTTAAGAATCTTAGGCAGACAAACATCTTGTTCTTAAAGTTCTCTGGAAGGAAAATATCTTTGCCATCATTATTCTGAACTCTATTTCAGGTAAATTTTTTATCTCTATTTCATTTATCTCTTCTGGAGAATTTTCTTGTCCTTTCATTTGGGGGTTGTTTCTTTGTCTCCTCATTTTGGCTGCCTGTTTGGGTTTGTGACTATGTATTAGGTAGATCTGCTACACCTCTCAGCCTCTAGTGCAGAACAGTGTCAAACACTCTTTCTGACTAATTATATTAGGCAAAGACTCAAAGCCTCCAGAGAACACCTCTGCCTGCAGACTGACTGGATTCAGTCTTAACCCTTAGGCAGTCATCCTCTGGTGTGGTGAGAGTTTTTCCAACAGGGTGGGGCAATTGCTTCTGCCTGGAGGCTAATTGTTATTTTCAGTCTCCTAATGGACCTCAGAAACTCCACTGCAGGGGCACAGACAATAGGGTGAGTCAAGTGTCTTCTCCCCAGGCAAAACCACCAGTCTCTATGCGGTTTTGGAAAACAGTTTTTAAAAGTCATGTTATGCAAGGGGGAGGGAGATCAATGGGGGGAAAAGGAGACATATGTAATACTATATATAATATTTTAAACAATAAAGAATTTTTTTTAAATGTCACGTTATAAAGCCAACAGAAGTCCTCTTACAAAAGTAAATGAAAGTACACATTTTTAACTGGCTATGTATTTTAATCCCATGAGATTTATCAGCTTCTTTTTGTTTGCTTTGTGGAGTTTTGAAATAACTGTGTTGCTATAGAAAATAAGGCCTGTTTTATTATGGTTTCATGCAATAGTAACTATACTGGCTAGGAATGTTTTCCTAATTAGTTAAGCAGATAATACTTTTTGAAACATTTAAGTGGATCTTTGTGTTCTTTTTCTCAGATGACTAGAGTTCTTATTTATATTTAAAGTTTTGCATTTCTGTAGTTAATGATTTTCTATAAAAAACAGACCAGCTATTCCCTGGATAATTTAATTTTAAATTGGAAAGAGCTGAGGAACTAAATTTGGATGTCTCCCCCAATACCTTTCATATATATTTTATCTAAAAAGTACTGGCATAAAAGTATTAAATAATTTTAGACTATTACAAAGATATGATACCATTTTAAATACCAGAGTCTTTATAAATGAAGGAAGATTTTTTTCCCTTTAAAATTTGCATCTATGGCCATACACATAAAACTTTGTGAAGTCAAGTTTATCATAGAAGTTTAGTACCAAATTTAGAATGTAGCATTCATAGAAAGTGTGATCACTTTAGGAATTTAGATTTTTTTGTTATGTATACATATTTTTAGTATTAGCTAAGAGTGCTAAGCTATGAATTGAGGGTTTTTTCCCTTGATTTTTCAAATTAAAAACTCACTGAGATTGCCAAATTAGGTGTATTTTCTCAGCAGTTTCCTGTTAGGTGACTATGCAGAAAGAAATTTAAAGTTGTAATGTAAATATTTAAACTCCTTACTGAACAAGTAGTTCAAGGGATAAAGTATTAAAAATCAGGTTGAATAATGATAATTGCTAGACTCTTGGTGGGTGTTGTTTTTGATGGTTACGGTGTTATTTTGTTTGAGAGATTACATGTACAAAGGTATTTGTAATTTAGAAGAACTTTCTTTAGTCAAGTTTAAGCATAAATTTAAACATAAATACCTATGATACTGAGGCAATTCAAGAGAACCTTAAAGATGAAACTGATTTTACAGTTGAATCTGAGTCCTGGGAAAATGAGCGACTTGCCCATTGTACCATAACTAGGAGTTAGTAGACTTAAGGAATTAAACTCTTCCTTAAGATTAAGTTTCCATAAGAGGTACATAAATGACAGTGTTATTTCACTTGTGTTTCTGTTTCTAAATGTTGTAACAGTTTAATGTCTTAAGATGCTAAAAGTATTTTTTAACTTTGTGTAGGAGAATTATGGATTTGATAAAATTGAAGTGAGAGACAACGGTGAAGGTATCAAGGCCACTGATGCACCTGTGATGGCAGTGAAGTACTACACCTCGAAAATAAATAGTCATGAAGATCTTGAAAATTTGAGAACTTACGGTTTTCGTGGTGAAGCCTTGGGATCAATTTGTTGTGTAGCTGAGGTAAGGTAATTTATACTATTTTAGTGATTTTATAATTACAGAATATTAGAAGTGAGACAAAACTAAGCCAGCATTATTTATGTGTGTGTGCGTGCATGGGTGCGTGTGCGTGTGTGTGTGTGTGTGTGTGTGCGTGTGTCTGTAAGTAAAGGGCCCCAGCTAGGTATTCATTTATTCTTTTTTCTCTGTAATGTGATGTCTAAGAAAGAAAAATTATGGGTGGTGGAGGTGGAGCAGTGGTTCCCAATGTGGGGCACATGCCCCACAGGGGGAGCAATTTCAATTTTAAGGAGGGCAATTCAAGAAGGAGTTAACAGTGAATTTTTGGCATTTCTTATGGTTCTAGGGGCTTCATATAAATATATATATATAGTGACATAATTATGCATTTCAGTTCTCTATTATATGTTTTAAAACTTTATTTGCCATTTTTTCATATCACTTCATATTATTATTATTTTTTTAACAATTTCTTTTTTTTTTTTAATATATTTTATTGAGTTTTTACAGAGAGGAAAGGAGAGAGATAGAGAGTTAGAAACATCGATGAGAGAGAAACATCGATCAGCTGCCTCCTGCACATCTCCCACTGGGGATGTGCCTGCAACCCAGGTACATGCCCTTGACCGGAATCGAACCTGGGACCCTTCAGTCCGCAGGCCAACGCTCTATCCACTGAGCCAAACCGGCTTCGGCAACAATTTCTTAGTGATTTCTTTCTCAGTACTTCAACTGTCCTTTCGTTCTTTTATTTTTCTCTTTCATGTTCTTTGAAAGCTTGTTTAGACCAAGTTAATGGCCTTTTAGGCTTCCTCCACATGAACAGGAGTTCACTTTTTGAATAATAAGAATTATATGTCACGGGTGGGGGGGGCATCACCATTTTAGAGATGCTTAGGAGGGGCGTGGATAAACGAGGTTGGGAAGCACTGAGGTGGAGTTTGGAGTGGCTGGCATTGCTCCTCAGCATAGGGGACTATGAGCCCTTGCTCAAAAGCCAGGTGTTCAAACATCACTAACGGAGGGAAGACCTTGTGACTCCTTAAGTGCACGCTGCTTAAAACTTCTTTCCCAAACTAGCACAGCCCATGCTTCTGTGATTTTTCTCAGCACTTACTTTAAGTTCACTGAGACTCCAAAGAGTATGGAAGAGTAACTTACAATTGGGCAATGCCCATCATTTTCCCCAGAGACTGTATATGGGAACCTAGAGCCCGAGGATCTTGCAGAAAACCTTATAAAGTGGGGTGGGATTTGTACCAGAGAACTTCTGAAGCTCCCGGTACTACTACTATTGGTTAAGTTCTCAGTGGCTGTTTTAGAAGTCATATAATTTTACTTCATGATAATAAAGTGATAACATAAGTATTTGATTTTTTTAGCTGTTGTCCAAATTTGGCAGGTAGTCTTTAAGGTTTATTTTGGCAGAGTATTGTTGAAAAGTATATAATTTAGTGTTTCATTATTTTTTGAGATGTATATAACCTTTGAGAACGGAAATCAGTCACTATTAACTTTGTCTGCTAGGTGGCAGCACTATACTTACACATAGGCCATATGATTTATCCACATCGACACTGCAGTTCTGATTTTAGATGGCTGTTTTGCAAGCTCTTATCCAGTAGCACTCTCTGTTTTTTTTCTTTATTTGATTACTTGAACCTACTTGATATCTGTTTATCATTTTGTCTTTTGTTTCCGTTTTTGAGGCATTTGAATGCCTTGAACATAAATACTTAAATAAATTTGCTCATCAGAATTACAAAAGGAGTAAAAGAATTGTCAAAGTATCATAATAATAGACAATTATAAACTTGCACACATGCACACACATCACAATGAATTTTTATGTATGTGAACTGCAGATCTGGACCATTGTCAGCACTCCTGAAGGTTCTTTAATGCCCTTCCCAGGCTGTACTCCTCAAAGCAATCGCTATTCTGACCTATATCAACATAGTTCTTCTGCCTATTTTTGAACTTGATCTAAATGGAATCTTACAATATGTATTATTTTTGCCACAGATTTTGTTGTTGTTGTTGTGCCTGAAAGCCAAAGGAAATACAGAACTTTGGTGGTAGTAGTAATAGACCCTAGTCACTGCCAGATCCCCCTGTCAGGCTGAGCACTGATTCTCCCAGCTCCCAAGAGCATTGCTGACTGCGTGCTCACAGCAGTCTCCCTCTGAGGCTGCCCTTGCCTCAGCTGAAGAGAGGTACCTAAACCATGCAGGGCACCTGCATCAGTGATTGGTTGACAAGGGGTTGTAAAGGCCCTATTTCACCTCACAGCTCCACCAGCCATGCTGTCTGCTCCAGAGTGGCCCGTGGGCCCCCAAGGCCTGTGACTGTGCGCAGCCCACTTCTCTTTCTGCCCTGCCCCCACAGAAGGTCATCCTGGGAGCACTCCTGATAAGTGTCCTTCTCACTAGTCTCCGTCTGCGTCTGCTTCCTGTGTCAGCCACCCCACAGTGAGGGTTCATGGCTCCATCTCATAATACTGACAAGGAAACAGGTCTTGTGAAGGCCAAATGCCAGTTCTCACCCCAACTTCAAAACACAGTCTAATAACCAGTCAGCTGATTTCATTGTCTGAATGCATCGTGCTGTGCGAAGTTTACTTCAGAGGAACTGTGCATAGAGAACTAAATGGAACATGAAAATTATAGCCTCTTTAGGGATACATAATGTGTTAATGATGAAACCAATCATTTAGTTCCAATATCATGCTTCCCAGTGCTGAGTATTCCACAGTAGCTCATGCTGCCTTCTTGTTAAGGTGGTTAAAAGGCATTTGTAAGTGTAAAAGTATCTCATCTATACTAATAAAAGGGTAATATGCTAATTCGATCAGATAGACCAGACGTCCTTCTGGACAAAGCCACGGTCGAAGGGCTGAGGCAGAGGCGGTTAGGGGCAATCAGGCAGGCAGGCAGAACAGTTAGGGGCGATCAGGCAGGCAAGCAGAACAGTTAGGGGCAATCAGGCAGGCAGGCAGAACAGTTAGGGGCAATCAGGCAGGCAGGCAGAACAGTTAGGGGCGATCAGGCAGGCAGGCAGAGTGGTTAGGAGAGATCAGGCAGGCAGGCGAGCAGTTACGGGCAATTAGGCAGGCAGGCAGAACAGTTAGGGGCGATCAGGCAGGCAGGCAGAACAGTTAGGGGCAATCAGGCAGGCAGGCAGGCAGAGTGGTTAGGAGAGATCAGGCAGGCAGGCGAGCAGTTAGGGGCAATCAGGCAGGCAGTCAGGCGAGCAGTTAGGGGTGATCAGGAAGGTAGGCAGAGTGGTTAGGGGCGATCAGGCAGGCAGGCAGGCCAGTGGTTAGGAGCCAGCGGTCCCAGATTGCAAGAGGGTGCAGGCCAGGCTGAGCCCCCGCCACGCACACACACACACGAATTTCGGGGCTCTAGTATTTAAATAGTAAATATCCAGTAAATAGTAAATAGTAAAAAAAAATAGTAAATATCTAGTATTTAAATAGTAAAAAAAAAAATATCCAGGCCTGCAGTGTAAGCTCAAAAGATAGGTTGTCAAGGAGAAGTCAAGTTGAAACTTACATGGGAAGGTTCTGAATAGTGTTTCAGAAATACAAAAAGCAATAGATGCTTGTTAAGGTCAATTGCATTAAAAAATAAATGAAGTTATTCAGGAAGACTTAATGATTGCCTTTTGGGGGGGAAATCACTTCTTAAATTTAATGACTATTCTTCATTTAGAATTGAAGTTTCATTTATAGAAGTTGCTTATTTATTTTAAGGCTCCAATTTATTTTGAAAAATTTTGGATAGAGATTGCAGTTATTATATTATTATATTATTGCAGAAATTGTAGATTTTGTTATTTTATCTGCCAAACTAACTAATGCAGATAATTTTAAAGTCATACAGTTGTAAATGATCTCAGGCTCATTAGATTAATAATACAGGGTGGGGCAAAAGTAGGTTTACAGTTGTATGTGAAAGAGAATTTATTCTTGTATTATTATTTATTAATTACTGCTGTTTTCCATATGAACAACTATAAACTTTCTTTTGCCCCATCCTGTATGTAATTAGGATAATGTTTTGCACAATATTAAACAGCTATTTCCCAAAACTCCAGTTATTGAAATTATTTTTTGTTAGGTTATTTTAAAGATGTTAATTTTAGCCCTGGCCAGGTGGCTCAGTTGGTTGGAGCATTGTCCTGTACACCAAAAAGATTGTTGGTTCCATTCCCCGTCAGGAAATCATACCTAGGTTGTGAGTTTAATTCCTGGTTGGAGCATGTACGAGAGGCAACCGATTGATGTTTCTCCCTTTACATCAATGTTTCTCTCTCTCTCTCTCCCCCCTCCCCTTTCTCCCTCCCCTCACCTTTCTTCTCCTCTCTCTCTAAAATCAGTAAACATATCCTCGGGTAAGAACAAAAAAATAAAAGTAATAATGTTAATTTTAGTTACAGAAAGAAAAAAGTATACTTGCAGCAAAATTGGCTGGAGAAATTTAAAATACATCTAATCCTATATTCTTTATGCACGTTAAAAGAATGGGCAGTTTTTTACTTTGTCAATAATAAAATGACTTTCAATCTTAGAATTAAACAGTCCAAAGGAGTAAAACATTGTCTTTATATCTACAGAGTATCCTATTGGTATTTTCAAATGGATTACTGATTCCATAACCATTAATGTATCAATGACTGGCACAAATTGACTGATAATGATTTTCTTTAAATGATATTAAGCATAACTTCTCTTGAAATACATTATTGTTTGTAGAGTAGTAATTTTGGTATATTTGTCATTTCTCAATGTTAAATTCCTGGTCCTAATTACTAAGCACACCGAATAGAATGAGCTAGAGAGTGAAAATCCTATTTTGACCTCTTCATACAATTTTTATGAAGACTGTATATATTGTCCCTGTAACATAATAAAATATAAAATATATTATATTTCTGTATAAGTAGATATTTTACAGGCATTATATTAAAAATGATCTTTTTCCCCTCCAAAGAAATGTTTAAGAAACTCATACAAGTTTTTTTTTTTAAACTGGATTTTAAATGGAGGCTAAATTATATCTCAGTTTTGGGAAGACTACAGAGCAGATTTGTTTTCTTAAAATCAGAACAAACTCTGAACTAGGAATCAAAAACCTAATTCTCATTCCCAAGTGTTTGAATAAGAGACGTGGTTGGCCAAAGGCATAAAACAGGTTAACTTTTCTGAGTGCCTTTTTATTTTTTTAGTCTGTAAAGTGATGATGATAATTTGAGGGTCAAAGGAGATAATGCATATTAAAGTGTCCTGAATATTGTCACGTGCCATGCAGTGGAAGTTCGTTTTCTCTGGTCTTGAATGTGGAACGTGGTAGCAGCTGTATCACATAGGTGATGAGATCACCAGTCTTCTCATTCCCTTGTTGGCAAGCAGTACTTCACATCAACTTTCAAAGTTTATGTAAACTCCTCAATATTTTGGGGAAATCCTTTCTAAAATTTTATAGCCATTCCTAGGAAAATTCCTTCTAATTTTCACCAAAGGCCTTTATTTTGTTGCATAAATTCATGTTTTTTCCTTTTGGTTTTCCTTCAGAAGAATTAGAATTGCCAGCCATGCTCTGCATAATACTCCTGTTTATTGATTTATTCAGCCAACATTTCTTAAAGAAGTTACAGCGTGCTGGGTATTATTCTGATCTATCAAGTTCACCAAACATAATTTTGTGATGAGCTAATACGGGATCTGTAGACTTGGTACAGTTTTATGTTACATTAACCCTCCATGGCTTACGGGGACAGAATGGAGCTAAGTTGTTCTGTGTTGAAGATGGAGGTTGAGACTCCCTTTTAGCGGCCCCACTCAGCTGTAAACGGCCAGAGGACGCCCCTGCTGTCATCCTGACGATTCCTGCCTCCGGCTCCATGGAGAAGGTGCCTTCTGTGTCCTTTCGAGCGCGGTGGGAGAGCTGTAGTTAGAATAGGCACAGGAATTTTTGAAGATTCTCTTCCTAAAAACAACCTGCTCACAGGTGATAGAACCCTGTTGAAAATGAAAAGTCAGAGGCCAGGTCCGCCTGTTGCTTTCCTCCCACAGTGCAGTCTCTGGGAGAGGGCTCTGACGTCAGCGTGCGTCTGTCAGTGTCCGGCTCTGCACGGCAGGCGGGCACGCGCACAGTAGGAGAAAGACATGTCGGCCATCCAGCAAAGCCCGCGTTTCAGCTCAATCACGAGGACCATTTGCTTTAGTTTTCAGACCCATGTTCCTGTGTGGCATTCTTCCAAAAGTTAGTAAAAAATAAAGACACAATTTATGACATAATTACCTTAAATGAATTTTTGTCAAGTGAGTATTTCTTTGCATGAATTACCAGGATATATTCTAAGTTTTTAATTTACATTTTATCTAAAACATTGAGAAAAATTGTGCTTATCTAAACTGTAAATGCTTTTTTGTAACTTTAGCTTTGTAATAGTACTATAATTTCTTGAAACTCAGTAACTGAACCAGAATTAGTTTTTAATAACTGGTAAGTAATAAACCGCTAAAGTCCTCTAAGAACTTCTAAAACTTTTCCTTTTATAATAAACTTCTTTTAAAATTATCTGAATAAATTTAAAAATTTTTTTTAATTAACATCACTAGATTGATTCACTGCCACAGTTCCTCAGTATCTCCAGTAAGAGGCACCAGTAATAATTTGTAATATTCGAGGTGCTTCTGAGGTGGAGTTACTGCGGGTTCAAATGCTAGCTACTGGACTGCTAACACATTCTGAACCTGTGCCTGGTCCAAGAAAAGGGTTCTTGCCCAGGACACAGGGTCATGTGATGAAATGAACTCTTGAAATACAATTCCTTCCTCTGAAGAACACACTGTATTTCATGAATTGGTGAAACATGCTTATGCGTTTTATCCTGCACTGTCTTCAGTAGTGAACTGCAGAGAATTTCCTATCTAAATAATTTTTCATAGTACCCTGAACATTCTAATTTTTTAAATGTTAATGTTGGGAATAATATTGTGTTCTATCTTTTTGCTTTAACATAAATGTTACATTATGACCTCATAGGTCCTATTTTACCTTTTAGTACTTCAGTTTATTCATCAAGGCTGGAGTATATTTACTATTCATTAATGTTTTGAAGACGAACAAGCTAATATCTGTGAAGTACTTTGACGTAGTTGAAGCGAAAACCCGTGTAACCTTATAAAGTATTAGCATCATCTTCATCTTATCATCACCCTCCCCTTAAAGATGATAGTGTAATTTATTCAGGACCATCGAGCAAGCCACTGGCAGAGTTAGTACTAGAACTCAGAGTTCCAGGGCTGCCTTTGCTCAGTGACACCAACTTTAGGTCAGGTGGCTAGCTCTTTGGAGAATAGAAATAGAATTCAGTTGACCTTGGCATTTTGGAGAAGTGGTTGGTTAAATGTAGAATTGTTTTTAAAGAGACAATCAGAGTAATTAGAGACAAAGAAAATCTCTAGCAGTCTGTCTTCTTTATTTTGACAGCCTTTACTAGAAGAAATCACTTTTCGGCACAGTGGAGTTGTGACATAGCAGGAAAATTAAGATTAGTTATCAGGAAAAATTTTAAATTATACAACTTTTGAACCATGGAATATATTTTTAGAAGAAGTAAAATAATTGTTTTAGATTATTAGAGAAGAGTTATCACAGAAGTAGCAGCTTTGAAGCAATTCCCCTAATAAGGATTTTATAGATGTCACCCTCAGAGACAATCTAGTAGACTGAACTAGTACTGACACTAGAGAAGCTGTACTGTTTTCGTTGTGACTTTGCAATTGCTTGCAGGATACCCACATGTGCCACAGAAGCTTGTAGCCTACAGTAAGTCAGTGCATGGCTAGTACAGGGTGACAGAACCATCAGATGTAGACTCAACTGGACCTAGTTGACTTCTAGCAGCGGACCTGGATCTTCATGGCTTTTTCCTTAATTATATAGATTTATCTCTCTCTATATAAAAGCCTATTATGCAAATTGTCCCCTCAGGAGTTCGATTGCTCACTATGACGCGTGCTGACCACTAGGGGGCAGCTCGGAATGAAGGAAGGCCCCGATTAGCCCTGATTGCTGGCCAGGCCTAGGGACCCTACCCATGTACAAATTCTGTGCACCGGGCCTCTAGTTTTGTACTCAGTCTAAGGATGGCCAAGAAAGATTGCTTCCAATTTTGGGTTGGCATTGTTCACCAGAAGCGTGAGGAGGCTACCCTTTTCTGAATCCACCTGCTTTACTTGCCAGCATCCCCACTCCCCACTTATAGCATTTTCTGGCAGGGATATGGCTCACTGTTGTTATACTCGCCTACTGACCTCACAAGATAAGTACACAGAAAGCTGAGGGAGAGTGCAGACCTTCTTAAGTTTATATTTCTATGACTGTAACATCTTAGGAAATGTTTCATACTGAATTAAATCCTTTTTTATACTTACATGTTTTAATGCTAAATTTTTTTAAATAATAAAATTACATTTAAACAGTGAGTTCAAAGCTTGGGTTTAAGAAAAAATTGGCCATACATATGTGTGTTGATTTGTGTTTATTCTTTTGAACCATTAACTTGAAATACAGAAGTGCAGGAAATGATCACTATACAAAAGGATTATTTACCAACAAATTTATGTGAGTAGTCTGTTAAAAAACAAATTTCCTTAATGCATTTGAAGTATTTCATTTTACAGGCGTAAGTCACATAATACATATAATAAAAATAGCCATTTCAGGTATTCCGATTTATATATGATTGTTTTATGTAGAGAAAAATATTAAAAAATGAATAATTAAACAGAAGAATTTATAAACTGACCTATTGCTTATTAGTATAACTCTAAGGAATATTATAAAAGAAGTGGGTATAAGAATTTATTAAGTAAAACTATTTTTAATCTTAAGTGAATATATGCTAATTATTTTAAATATGGCTTGAGAATGAGCCCTCTGCAAAAATCATAATTTTATTAGATTTTTTTTTTTTTATTCCAGGTTTTAATTACAACTAGGACAGCTGCTGATAATTTTAGCACCCAGTATGTTTTAGATGGCAGTGGCCACATAATTTCTCAAAAACCTTCACATCTTGGTCAAGGTAAGAGAGTAGCTTTGTAACATGCGTTGCCTTTTCTTTTCTTTTTTTTTATTTTTAGCAGATTACCTCTTTTTTTTTAAATTAAATCTTTATTGTTCAGATTATTACATTTGTTCCTCTTTTTCCCCCCCATAACTCCCCTCCTCCCAGTTCCCGCCCCACCCTCCGCCCTCACTCCCCACCCACTGTCCTCATCCATAGGTGCACGATTTTTGTCCAGTCTCTTCCCGCATCCCCCTCACCCCTTTACCCCCCAAGAATAGCCAGTCCACTCCCTTTCTATGCCCATGATTCTATTATATTCACCAGTTCATTCTGTTCAACAGATTATTCACTTGATTTTCAGATTCATTTGTTGATAGATGTGTCTTTGTTGTTCATAATTTGCATCTTTACCTTTTTCTTCTTCCTCCTCTTCTTAAAGGATACCTTTCAGCATTTCATATAATACTGGTTTGGTGGTTATGAACTCCTTTAGCTTTTTCTTATCTCTGAAGCTCTTTATCTGACCTTCAATTCTGAATGACAGCTTTGCTGGATAAAGTAATCTTGGTTGTAGGTTCTTGGCGTTCATCACTTTGAATATTTCTTGCCACTCTCTTCTGGCCTGCAAAGTTTCTGTTGAGAAATCAGCTGACAGTTGTATGGGTATTCCCTTGTAGGTAACTGAGTTTCTTTCTCTTGCCGCTTTTAAGATTCTCTCTTTGTCTTTTGCTCTTGGCATTTTAATTATGATGTGTCTTGGTGTGGTCCTCTTTGGATTCCTTTTGTTTGGGGTTCTCTGTGCTTCCTGGACCTGTAAGTCTATTTCTTTCACCAGGTGAGGGAAGTTTTATGTCATTATTTCTTCAAATAGGTTTTCAATATCTTGGTCTCTCTCATCTTCTGGCACCCCTATAATTCTGATGTTGGTACGCTTGAAGCTGTCCCAGAGGCTCCTTACACTATCTTCGTATTTTTGGATTCTTTTTTCATTTTGTTTTTCTGGTTGGGTGTTTTTTGCTTCTTCACATTTCAAATCTTTGCCTTGATTCTTGCACTCCTCTGGTCTGCTGTTGGGAGTCTGTATAGTATTCGTTATTTCAGTCCGTGTATGCTTAATTTCTAGTTGGTTCTTTATTATAGCATCGAGGGTCTCATTAGATTTCTTGAGGATCTCACTACATTTATCGGCGGCTTCTAGACAGTTCTTAAGAGACCTTAAAAGTGTGGTTCTGAACTCAATATCCTCCATTGACAGTTTTGTCCTGTTTCTTTGTCTCCGCATTTTTTATGCTTTCTTGGTGCACCCCCTAGTGGTCTTTGTGCGCAGTCTTGTTGTAGTTAAGCCTTGATTGTTGTCGGCAATACCGGAGGTGATTTGACCTCCAGGTTAACTGGCTATGAGAGTCTGCTGTGTCTGCAGTGGGAGAGCTTCTGTGCTGGATCTCTAGGGTGGTGCTAATCTAGCGTTTGCCTGAGGCTGTCCGGCAAATGGCTCTGCGCAGGGCTTGGGCGGGGCGGGTCCCGGGGGATCTACAGGGGGGCCGGAGCGAGCAGTTATGGCTGCTCTCAGTCCCGTCCCTAGGGACTCTGCCTCACAGAGTCCCAGCAACCGCTGTAAACCTCGGAGAGAAAGCTGCCTTCGAGTTCCGACAGAAGCCAGACAGTCCCGCTTCTCCCATTTGAGTCTGGGTCCCTAGAGGCTCGCCCGGATCTGGAGCTCAGAGTCTGAAACTTCCTCCCGATTGAAAACAACAACCGCGCCCTCCGCCTCCAGCCCGCTCCGCGTGCACTCCGCACCTTAGTATTTCACTTCAGCACTGTGCCTCCTCTGAGTCTGGGTATGATATTCTCTTTCCTCCTAGTTGTAGAATTTCCACTCAGCCAGCCTTCCTGTGGTTCTGGATGATGTCCGTTCCGTCTTTTAGTTGTTTTTTGAAGTGGTTGTTTGAGGCAGCAATCTCCCGCGTTAACCTATGCCGCCATCTTGGTTTCCTCCCCGCGATGCCTTTTCTGTCTTAATAGTTTAGTTATTAAAAATTCTTGCTTCTAAAATTTAAATATATTGATTGCTTCGGGTTTGGTCCTGATAATAGCTAGTTAACTTCCAAGTGAACATTCAGCCTGTGCGTTAGCCACCAGTCTCTTAAATACTTAGAATTGGTCTCAAGAGGATCTGTATGAAAGACTTTGGACAACAACATTGATGAGTTACTCCTCTTGTAAAAACTGTCAGAGCGCTATTTCACTCTTGCTGGATTACTATCGACTCTTTTATACATGAAGGATAATATTTTCTTGAAATGCCTAAAACATTGATTTAGTAATCAAACTAATAAACCATACCCTCAAGGTATGATTAAACCAATAATTTAAAATATATTTACTTACAGAGATCTTAAAAAATGTACACAGTGGATAGAACAGTGTTCCCCTCACTGTTTCAATTATCAACTCATTACTAATGTTTCATCTAATACCTCACCCACTGCCTCCCTTTTTGTATCATTTAAATCAAGTAAATATATTAATTATTGCTATTGGTCATTTAGTTTTTTTCTTTTTTTGGGTTTTTTATTTTCTCTAATGATTAAGGTATTACACAGGGGTCCTCAAACTTTTTAAACAGGGGGCCAGTTCACTGTCCCTCAGACCGCTGGAGGGCCGGACTATAGTTTAAAAAAAAACTATGAACAAATTCCTATGCACACTGCACATATCTTATTTTGAAGTAAAAAAACAAATACAATATTTGAATTTGCATGTGGCCCGTAGTTTGAGGACCCCTGGTATTACATATGTGTCCTTATCCCCCCATTGTCCCCACCCCCCACCTCCCTACTCATGCCCTCTGGTGTCTGTGTCCATTGGTTATGCTTATATGCATGCATACAAGTCCTTTGGTTGATCTCTCCTCCTTCCCCCCACCCTCCCCTGCCTTCCATGTGGGGTTTGACGGTCTGATTGATGCTTCTGTCTCTGGATCTGCTTTTGTTCATCAGTTTATGTTGTTCATTATATTCCACAAATGAGTGAGATCATGTGATATTTATCTTTCTCCAACTGACTTATTTCACTTAGCATAATGCTCTCCAGGTCCATCCATGCTGTTGCAAATGGTAGGCGTTCCTTCCTTTTTATAGCAGCGCAGTATTCCATCGTGTAGATGTACCACAGTTTTCTAATCCATTCATCTGCTGATGGGCACTTGGGCTGTTTCCAGATCTTAGCTATGGTGAATTGTGCTGCTATGAACATAGGGGTACCTATGTCCTTTCTGATTGGTGTTTCTGGTTTTCTTGGGATATATTTATTCCTAGAAGTGGGATCACTGGGTCAAATGGGAGCTCCATTTTTAGTTTTTTTGAGGAAATTCCGTACTGTTCTCCACAGTGGCTGCACCAGTCTGTCTGCATTCCCACCGCAGTGCAGAAGGGTTCCTTTTTCTCCCCATCCTCACAAGCACTTGTCGTTTGTTGATTTGTTGATGATAGCCATTCTGACAGGTGTGAGATGGTACTGCATTATCGTTTTGATTTGCATCTCTTGGATGATTAGTGACTTTGAGCATGTTTTCATGTGTCTCTTGGCTTTCTGAATGTCCTCTTTCGAAAAGTATCTATTTAGGTCCGTTGCCCATTTTTTGATTGGGTTGTTTATCTTCCTTCTGTTAAATTGTATGAGTTCCCTATAAATTTTGGAGATTAAACCCTTATCGGAGATAACATTGGCAAATATGTTCTCCCATGCAGTGGCCTTTCTTGTTGTTTTGTTAATGGTTTCTTTTGCTGTGCAGAAGATTTTATTTTGATGTAGTCCCATTTGTTTATTTTCTCTTTAGTTTCCATTGCCCTAGGACTGATGGCGAACCTATGACACCTCTGACACGCGAACTCATTTTTTGTTGATTTTTCTTTGTTAAATGGCATTTAAATATATAAAATAAATATCAAAAATATGTCTTTGTTTTACTATGGTTGCAAATATCAAAAAATTTCTATATGTGACACGGCACCAGAGTTAAGTTAGGGTTTTTCAAAATGCTGACACGCCGAGCTCAAAAGTTTCGCCATCACTGCCCTAGGAGCTGTATCAGTAAAGATATTGCTTCGGCATATGTCTGAGATTTTGCTGCCTGTGGATTCCTCTAAGATTTTTATGGTTTCCCATCTTATGTTTAAGTCCTTTATCCATTTTGAGTTTATTTTTGTGTATGGTGTAAGTTGGTGGTCTAGTTTCATTTTTTTAGTGTTTTATACACTTACATAATTTCATTGTTTTTTAATCTTGTGTTTCTAAGTACCTCTACTATTTACTTCTAAGGGGAAAATAATCTCTTTAGGCTTGTGTTTCACATATTTCCTTTAATCTTTTTCATACTGCTAACTTCTAATAGGATGTTCAAGTTGAGAGAACGTTAAAGGTATGACCTCTTTAGAGTCATGTCCAAAAGAATTGTTAGATCTGTAGAGGGACTTGTGTTTTTGTTGTTGTTTACCATTCTTCTCCAATTTGTATTGTAAATTCACTTTTAATTTTGTGGTCCCTCCCTATAATTTATCAGTCTTTTTTTTTTTATGGTTTCTTCCTTCTAGGTTTTTTTGTTTGTTTGTTTGTTTATTTCAGAGAGGGAGAGGGAGAGAGAGATAGAAACATCAATGATGAGAGAGAATCATTGATTGTCTGCCTCTTGCACGCCCCCTTCTGGGGATAGAGCCCACAACCCAGGCATGTGCCCTTGATCAGAATCGAATCCAGGACCCTTCAGTCTCCAGGCCGACGCTCTATCCACTGAGCCAAACCAGCTAGGGCTCTTCCCTCCAGTTTTAATGTTAAATTATTGGATTTATTTTTTCAAATGTCTTGTCTTTCTTCATTGAAATTTATTTTCTTGTACCTTAACACTGATGCCAGATTCTCTCATTCTTTCTTTTTTTATAAATCTCCAATTAGTTACTGTTAGTTTTGCCCATTAAAAATTAACATTTTTGTATATACATGGAGTAAATAGAAACTCTTAAGACAACACACTAACGTTTTTCTCATGTATTTAGATTAGGACAAAGAGAAGGCCTTTTAAAATATGGTTCCTCTCCAGAAATGCTCTGACCCCAGTTCTTAGAAGTTCAAATTAGGAAACCATTAGGAGTTATTTGAGTGGCTGGCTATCCAGTAGAGTACTTTAAAGTAATCTAGTCACCTTATAAAACTTAAATGTATTTATTTTTATCTTACCTAGTAGCCAGTCTAATCTGGATGGCCAGTGACTTTGCATCACCCACATTTCTCATGCTTTCCTGGATTCATCTCCATGAGAACTATGAAGTAACAGTTCTTAAATATGGAAACCTTCGGATCTTTGCCTGTTTTCTGATTGATTTTTCTTTTCTTGTTGACCTACATCTTCTACTTTTAGTGAGATCAGGTATGCATATTAAGGAATTTCTACAGGCAATTGATGAACCTGGTGTTCTTTTACAATATTTCTTTCACCTTAAGAAACAACATACTTGGAAAGTCAGTAGTTGCTAAACTAGTAGTAATTGCCTTTCATAGATCACTTTTTTCTCTAAATTACAGTTTATTGGCTAGGAAAACAGCACAAAAATCAAGCTTATTGAAATCCACAAACACTTTCAAAAGCATTTTACATTTATATTGCCTTAGTGCTGATAGTTTTTGAGTGATTGAATCACGGACTCACATTTCACCAGCTGTCATTCAGCTTCCATTTAAATATTTTCTGTGTAAGATAAAACTACAGTTCAGCCATCTTAATTAATACCTGTGCATTTAGGGTTCTCATAGATTAATTTTTGCTGTGGTGTAACAGCCTTACTTAGCAGTTACTCCTCATATCATCTAATAGGATGGCACCTGCAGATAGCCTAACTGTAGATGCAGGAACAAATTACAATTGAATCTTTTTTAAGCATTGGGAAATTTGTTACCCCTTTAAGAAACATATTTTAAAATGTTTAAAAATAGTTTATTGGAGATTCCAGTTCTGGTGTAGTTATTTGTTTTATGGATTAATTTAGCCATTTAAAATTATTTATGTGTTTAACAGTATGCCATTTATAATTACCCTTACCTTATAAGACATTTAAAAAATTAATAAGAAATATAAAATTAAATCTTCAGCTTTTAAATTCTTTTTACCAAGTACTCTGACTAAATTATTTGTTTTAGTCATATCTTTTTTGTCATCACTTCTATTCTCTTTACTCTAGATAATCAGTATTAAGCTTCTAAATTTATTTACCTTCCTAGAAAAATTCTTTTAACACCTTTTAATACTTCTTCTGCCTTAGGAATTTCTCACATGTCAAAAATAGTGTATTTAAAGTATTCTGATCAGGATATTTCCTTTCCCTACCCTGTTATTAGAGTAGAGCATCATGTTTTTTGTAAATCCCTGCTGTGTGTGATTGTGCATATATAGAAAGATTTTTTTAATTTTGAGAATGGAATTTTATTAAGTAGTTTAAGGAAATTGACATATGCAACAATCATACCTCTTTACATTAGGAACATAAATCACTGCCTATATAAGTGGCATAACATAGGCATCATGTAAAAATATAACAGGGAGCATATCACAGGCTGCAGTTTCATCCTGGTGTTTGTAGAATGTGCTAAAGTTAGAGAGCTGAACAGTTCTCTTGTAAAATATGATAGTATACTAGGGCCTCCTCCCTCTTGGCCAATATTACTTGCTACTTTTTTTTTAAGGCTATATATTTCATTTGGAATCAGCAAAGTTTTCCGTCATTAAGTTTTATTCCAACACATCATTCTTGGCTTATTGGTAATTTTCAATTTACTCTGAGAGAATATTTTTAGCTGCTAAAGCAATTATTTATCAATTAACATATGTATTAGGTATATTGTGATCTCTGATATGTAACATATTTTAAAAATCAGCATATTTTTTCCTTTCGTAAACATAGTTTGTCCTACTGATTTCTCCCTGCCTTCCTTCACACCATCTATTCACAGCTACAGTATATGCCCTTATATTTGTCACAGGAACTCATGAGTGGAGAACACAGATGAGTAAATAAATAATGACAATACAAAGTAGCCACCAGCTGCTAAGAGTAAAGTTAACAGAATTTTCAGAAAAGAACATTTGAATTTGAAAATGGTAGGTCAGAAGGGATGGCAGTATAACTTTTCAGCAAGATGGATATAGAAGATTTCAAGAGACCATTGCTTTCTATGTAGCAAAGAAGAGAAAAGCACATAATTTTTAAAATTTGTATTATTTAAAAACCATTGAAGAACTATGTCACAAAGAAGTTTAAATGAATTAAGTTCAAGAGAAAGACGACCCTTTCCTAGACAAGAAGAAACTAGTGGCCACTGGTGTCCCTGGGAACAGTAACTGAGACTGGAGGCCCAGCAAGACAGAAGAGCAGACCTACTTTGGTCCTCCGAGGAACCAGTGGAACGTTTCATAGCCACATGTGAGTTTACATGACAGATTGGAAGATGGGATCCTCTCATATGGAGCTTGTTCACCTCATCCTAAATTTCATCAGGACTTTTACTGAGTAACAAGTGATTAAGAAAGTTGGGACTAAGCTAGAGAGAGAAAGAAAAATCTTAAGTCTTGCTGCGCTTAGGTGTCAGAGCCTTGCTAGAGGAAGACACATATTTCCATCCTCAAGACATTAGAAACTGGAAGTGAACTGGAACTAAATGAAGGGGCAGCTCGGCTCCAACACAGATAAACTCCTGATTGTATTGAAGAGATCTGCTCTTTAGCTGCTTGACAGAGGAAATGAAGTGCCTTCTCTGGGGGAAAGTATTATCACCTTCATTACCTATTGTCCTTTTATGCACAGTGTCTGGGGAAAATAAAAATATTGAGAGACACAAAGATAGGAAAATGGAATCCGTAATCAAGAGAAAAAATAGTTGACATAAACAAACCCACAGATGACCCAGATATTTGAATTAGCAGATAAGAACTTTTAAAACAACTGTTATGCTGAAGAATTTGGAGGGAAAATGGTCCTAATTTCATTTTTTTTAAAAACAAGAGCTAATTAAAAACCCAATATTTAAGCAGTATAAATGTTTATACCTGTATTCAACTTTTAGTTAAATAAATGCATAATTTAAAAAAAATCCTGTTTTGAATATTTGTTGTTCAGAAGATGAGGGTAAATCAAACCAGGCAATTAGATATTTCAGATAAGAATTTTTAGTGGAATAATTAAGGTTATCATATATGCTGCGTAGCTACCTATATATTATACTTTAAGTGTAGAATAATCATCATCCCGAGGTTGTTTTGAATACCAGCAGAATTCTTAAGATACTACATTCCGGTAAGCCCATGTTTCTTTGCAGTGGTAGAAATAAGATTATTTTTGCTTTTACCACATAGAAGAGAGCACACCTAGCAGGTCAGTCCTGTTACAATAGAAGAGTGCAACATAGAATCAGAATAGCAAGGTTGATCTTCTTTGGGCCAAAGTTGGAGGAGGACTGGCCTTCAGTGATAGAAGGGGTTAATTACTGATTGTATATGGATTTAAAGATCTGAAGTTCCTTCCACATCTAAATATGCTCTTCATTTATCTGCCAACAGGTACAACTGTAACTGCTTTAAGATTGTTTAAGAACCTACCTGTAAGAAAGCAATTTTACTCAACTACTAAAAAATGTAAAGATGAAATAAAAAAGGTCCTAGATCTCCTCATAAGCTATGGAATACTTAAACCTGACTTAAGGATTCTTTTTATACATAACAAGGTATGCATTATTGTATTTCTGTAAAATCTTTTTGGTATATGATATATTAAAGGAACAATGTATTTTATCTAAATCAAACATATAAAGAGTCTTCTTAAAATTTGTTCTCATTTGTTTAGTTTGATCTCAGTAAATAAAGAATCTTTATTTTGTTACTTAATATCTGTATAAAATCTGATGGAACCTTTCATTTATTAATTTCTAAGATCAGAGATTTCCACCTACAGACTCTTCCACGCAAGCAATGTTTCTGTGCTTCCTAAATATGAAGATAAATAAAGACTTGTTCTTTTCCTTTAAGGAGTTCACAATTTAGTGACATTTCCCATTATCTATTCTAATCCCTTCCTTCTTTGGAAGAGTTTATTTTTTAAAGGAAACTCTACCTTATATTCTCCCGTTTTTCAGAGCCGGGCTGATGAGGAACTCTTGTTGCTGTATGAATCTTAGGGGAAAGAAAGGCTTACATAATTTCTGATTATTTTGTTTTTCATAAAGTTTCACATATGTACCTTGAAATAGTTCATGGAAGGAGAGTAGAACCACACAGCAGAAGTGTGGAATCCTGGTGGGGAGTAAGGAATTAACATTTATTGAGAACCCACATAATGCCAGGACCTGTGTAGGTACGTTAAACTCCCATAAACAATCACGTGAGGTAGACATATCAGTTTTGCAATTGTCCTCTGAGATGAACTCAGGGAGGTCAAGTACTTCACTCCGTGTTGCATGGCTGCTAAACTGTGATGGGATTTGAAACGAACATGCCTACAGAATGCAGGTCTTTACCCTCTGTTGTTTCCCATTGTGATAGTACTTTATCTATAATAATAAAAGCGTAATATGCCAATTAGATCAGACGTCCTTCCGGATGACCTTCCAGACAAAGCAGGGGCTGCAGCCTCAGGACTGAGGAAGCTGCTCTGCTGCGAGGGATCTATAGGCAGCCACCGGGGCTGTGAGGGAGGGATCCAGGCAGCCACCGGGGCTGTGAGGGAGGGATCCAGGCAGCCACCAGGGCTGTGAGGGAGGGATCCAGGCAGCCACCAGGGCTGTGAGGGATCTAGGCAGCCAGGGAGGGATCTAGGCAGCCGGGGCAGCTGCAAAGGCCTATTCTTGGACAAATTTCGTGCATCGGGCCTCTAATATTTATATAGTTCTTTTCCAGGTTTCAGAGCACTTACAAAACTTTGTGAGTCAGACAGCATTATTTCTGTTTGCACAGGGAACTTGAAGCTCAGAGTGATGAAAGGATTTTTTTCCCCAAAGCGATCAAAGGAAAAATTTTATTTTCTAGTAAGTAACAGTGCTTAGGTCAGAACTGTTTTCACCCAGTTGTCTTTCTGCTCCACATGTTTTCGCTTGTTAAGGTTTTGTATTAAACCAAGCTGTGGTAGAACATTTATGATAAAAGTCTTTGGTCATTAAAAAATAAAAAAGAAAGAAAAACATTAAGAATAGTCAGCCACCTGTTGCTGTTGGCATAGAGCTCAACCAAATGATACTGTGAGATCTCTTCCAGCTCTGCCATGCTGTGATTCCTCAGGGTGTCAATGGGTGGAGGCTCGTCCTGCTAATATAAATAACACGAGGACCTCTTGATCCAAAGGATGTTTACTAATTAAAAGTTGAATGTAACCAATTAAGAAAAGATCAAAGTCAGAAGAAATAGTGATCAGGAAGAGAAAAGTGATGGAAAAGGTAAAATATTAAGATAGGAACTATATATAGAAGTGAGTACAACTAAAGAAGAAAGTTAAGTAAGAGAAAACAATCAAAGAATAAAAAGATTATTGCCTCATGTAATGGAAATGAGTATTTAAAGTCATTTTATATATAAAATGAGTATTTATATATATAAACTTTGGGTAAGTTTATATTTTCTCAGCTACTATAAGATCATCTGTATAGGTATTTTAAGAATGAAAAGTAGAACTTTATAATATACTGCATCTTATTGGTGTTGGAGGGCAACGTGTCTGAACTACATTGAGCAAACACCAGCCCCTCGATGGCCTTCAGTGATGTCAGGCCCTGGAGAGTGTGCTGAGCGTGTCATGCAGTGACGGGATGTCCAACTACCAAAAGTCTTCCCGTGAACCTAGGCATTAGCTCCATTACACAAGGGAACCACGGACTAAGCCACAGCAAGCAGTCTCTCTTCAAGCCTTTTTCTCTCAGTACAAATTGTTTTTCTACTTTTTGTTTCTTAATAGTGCTGTTGTGCCTCGAATTTTAAACTATATTGTTAAACTTCCAAAAACAGCATTGCCACATTTTCTTAAATCTTTTTGAACATTGAGTGCAGTTCTGATCTTAGTCTTTTTCTTTTAAACATGCTTACTCTTACCCTATTTTATGTGCTTTTCTGAAGAATGTTTGTGCCTTTGCTTAAAATTTAAACATTACCATGTCGGCATCTTTTCCTTTTTTGAAAAAAAATTTTTGCTGTAGAAGCAAACAATCACATTACACATAATATGAGAAGTACTATTGCTATTTTGACATCTTGGATTAGATAGTGTTTCTTCTTTTTATGAAGGTTTAACCTGCCAAGACATTCTTTGAATACTGATAATGTCAATGTTCTTGCCAGTATGGTTATGTTAGAAAGAAGTGTTTTTCTTCTTTCATCATCATGTTCCTTGAAAGCGTATTGAATAATAAGACAGCTAAAGGGAAATAATTCACAAGTGGATTCAGTGAGTTTATTCAAATAATTTACAAGTGGACTCAGTGAGTTTATTACTTGGAGAAATGCTAGAGCCATTCCTTAGGACGAGCACTACAATTTTCAGCTTTAATTGTAATAACTGAGTTCCTGTAAAGTCCGGCAGCATATATTTTCATTTATAAAGTAATTTTCCATAATTAGAAGTTTTTCTCAGTGTGATAATACCTGAAACCAATTTACTATTCTTAGCTGTTTCATATGTACATGAGTAAGTCTATATATCACTAGTTCAGAACATAATGTTAAATGTATGAGTTCAGATAAGAAATACTTTCATACTTCATGCTTGTTGTTTTTCTGTGGATATTTCTTTTGCCCAAAATATTGTTTGTAGTTTCTAAAATTGTTTGGAATTCAGTTTTTGTCTTCATAATTAGAAGCCCACTGATATTGCAAAAGCTAAATTGGATATCATTGATATAAAAAGGTTTTAACTGGTACAAAGGAGAAGTAATTGAAGGAATGACTTCCCACATCCCCCACCTCCATGTAATGAATGCTAAGGATCAGTTTAAGTATTTTTGAGGTTTGGAAGAATGGTGTTAGCTTTGAAGAGTTGACTCTCTAGTGTCCGTCAATCTGGGAGGAGGCAGGGCCTTAGTCAGGAACAGGAAACTGGCCATGGAGAGTTGGTGGCTCCCACTGGACAAAGCTTTTGGGTTTCCTAGGAGGCTACTCTTCTGGGGTGGCGGTCAAAGATTTGGGGGTGGGGGTGACCAAGAATGAGAAAGGGGCTAGTTTATTGGATTATAAATTAAAGATAAGTAAGTGGTCATTTATAATCTGTCCCTTACATTCAAAGATGTTTTTTTGCGTCTTTACCATTTTATCCTTCTTTGCATCTTTTAGTCTTTTACCCCAACATGTTTTAATGTCCTGGTTTTGTGTCAGCTGTGCTAGGAGGAATCAAGGAAAAGTCCTCTGCCCACCATTGGATCATTGCTACAGGGGCACGCCCTTCTCCCCATCCCGGCCAGGGCTGTGGAGGCAGAGTAGTTAAAGAGAAAGGTCAGGTGAGGGCTGTGCTTTAATGCTTCCTTTTGAAGAAATTATTCCTTCAGTTCCAATGTTGAAAGTTTGGGTGGGTTTTGTTTTTGTTTCTTTTTTAGTTAATGAAGGCAGATGTCTCTTTAGATATATTTTATTTATTTTTTTTTTTGAGAAGCTGAGCGATTTTAATTTATTTGTTTTTATAACTTTATTTTTATTGTTGACACTATTACAGATGTCCCCATTCCTGCTCCCCTTTGCCCAACTTTACCCAGCTCCCCCGGCCCCCTGATAATTTAATGCATCATTCATTCTCCTTTGGCTTCTTCACAGCTGCTAGATTCAGAGCTTTGAGTAGGTGCTCTGGAGCAGTTATGTGATGGCCTGCACTCGGGAATAGCTTACAGTATAAGCCAGAAAATACTGCAAAAGTGTCTGAACATTTAATAGATGGAAATAATGAAAACTTGTTGAGTGGTTGTTGAATGATATCGATCAATACTATAGACATTGAGAGGACGGGACCTTTGCTTGGGCTAGAACAGTCAGGGAAGGCTTTCTGGTGGATGTGTTCCGAGGGCCTCCGCGCTCAGAATAAGACCACTCCTCTCTCTTCTATGCCTCCATCTGCAGTTGTCAGCTAGGATTCCCACAACTCAATCATGGCAAGACCTTAAAAGTCAGAATCTTGCAACTGTTACCTGCTTTGGGACTATCAGCCCTAATATCATGTTTTTATTCCTGTTGATGTCAGTTAACACAAGAAGCCTGGGTCTCCCAAATCATCCCTTATCACCCGGGACTCTTGCTCATACAAATCATTGCTTTTCCTAACTCTGCCTCTCACACCTGGCCATCTGTAGTGCGCCGTTTCATGGTAAGTCAAGTAAAATCTCCCGTGTCCTTAGCCTTTGCTTCGCTCATGTTGCTCTAATTGAAATCTGGCTTTTCTGAGAACCTTGTATCCCTGGCAGCCTTTTCAAATGACGACTAAATATCTAAATGATGACTGAATGACTAAAATATCATTCAGCTTTGAATCTTGCTCTTTAGACTCCTAGATTATTATCACTATAGTGAATTCAATATCCCCATAGGGAGTCTTTTCTAGAGTCCCAGGTCTTTTACTCCTCTTCTCCAGTAATGTTTGTTCTCCACCCTGCCTCAGCCACTAATTCCTGCGGCTACACTGTAGGCCTAGTCATTGTCCAAAACGACACCTCCATTAATTTCAGTGTTAAGTAGTTTACCTCTGCCTGCCACCTCCGTCTCTCCA